CTTCACTATCAGCTACAAACGTTTCACAGTGGACCGACGATCTTCCACTGGTCTTACTAGGTATTCGCAATGCAGTGAAAGCCGACATTGGATAAACAGTAGCTCAACTGGTTAATGGAACGACACTTCAATTGTCAGGAGAATTCGTGGATTCTTCATTTTCTTCAACGAAGATGGATCTAACCTCCTACACGAGCATGCTTACAAACGCAATACGTTCAGTTAAACTTGTTTCCACTCGATCACGGTCAACTGATGTTTCTGTTCAACCTGCCTTATGACACAGTACACACGTCTTCGTACGTCGCAAATCACTTTGATGACCTCTCAAAATAGCATATGAAGGACCCTTCAAAGTTCTTCTGTGCGAACCTTAGTACTATATAATCGATAAGGATGGAACAAACGATAGCATCAGCATCGAGCGCATTTAGAAGGAAATCCTATTCACGTCGATGTCCCTTCGATACAATGGAACGACACGGCTCCTATTCATATAATACCTCATTCGATAGCCAATACGCACGATGATACTTCGGCAGTAGCAAGAAATAAACTTAAGACAACGATTTCTGGAAGAAGAGCAAAATTTTCAGAACATTTATACGATTATTGCATGTATGATACTAGTTGACATCTTATATCATCTCGATTTTTCTTTGTATTATATGCAATATTAAAAAAACCAATTTTAATATGCTTATATATTTTTATTTCAGAAAAAACAAAAAATCGTTCTGTATGAGTTTATTTTCTTTTTTTCGCCTAATTTGTACCTTTACGCGCGTACGAGTGTATTTCGACATGCACTTACATATTCTTTTTTCTTTTCCAAGACGGCTGGAAAAGACGGAAAAAGAACTACGAAGTTTACGAGGAACCAAAACTTTGATTGTACCTTGTTTCTTCATTACTATATTGTACTAAATGGTCCCTTATGGTATGGAAAGACGACCAGATACTGCTTAACATAGCAAGCTATGAGAAGAGTGTTTACTAACGACAGAGTCGTTGAGTTTAAACTTCTAGCTGGCCACGCCCTAGCGTCAACGTTACCCCACTAGGAGGGAGAGGTATGTAGCTGTAAATATATCCCCAAAATAAATAGCTCTGTACGTTTTCGACATTGGATGCTGACCACATGTTTTAGTGTACTCATCTAGCTGAAGGCGCTCAGTCATGCAACCTCACCAGATCACGAGTGAGAATGCCGTGATCAACATCCCCTTCAATCGCTAGCCAGTTTAGATCAGTCGATCCTCAATATATTGATAGCCTATAAAATATATATATTCGAACCTCCTCGCTTCTGTCTTTTGATTTCTCTTGGTGAGTACGATTCACATTGGAAGGTGTTGCTGGTTAAACCGTTATCAAACTTTAAATACCTGTGGCATCTTCAGTCCTTTCATAATCAAAAGGACCGAGTCATTATTAGGAATCGGTTTACTACCGAGTTGTAATCGTTTGTACTCTCTGCATCTTATATTTTCCTCTGTCATTTGATCTTAGTATGTCTAAAATGCACGTCTCGTAAACATAAATTGTATGCTAGCCTTACTACATACGCTGTATTAACGTTATTTGTCAGTAGAATTGATAAGTATAGAGCATGTGCATCCCTTCAGTATCATTTCCGTTTGACCATAATAATCAGATAGGTAATAAAATGCTACAAGACCAAGAGGATGATAATAAAAATAAGTAACTGCTCAAGTAGAATGAATATTGGTGAAGATTTAAAATTACTACAACAACTAGTTCTCATTGGGGTATCAGAATGAAATGTTAATAAATGAATAAGTAAAATTTCTTCCACATTCATGCAGATCAGAAAAACAAACATTTTGGGATACCGACCGATGATTTCTTGAATTGCCGACAATCTAGAAATCCTCGGTTGTAATACTTTTGTATAGTAACGTATATCAGCAAACTTTTATGTGTTAATCTTTATTACTTCGAGTCTTGACTTGGCACTCTTAGTACCTTATCAAAGTATGAGCCGTGTGATTTGAACAACCATGAGCGTTTTTGTATGAGTAGAGATTTATGGCACCAAGTAGATTACTGTTTTTCTCTTTTGTGAAAATAATAGTGTTATATTCACGATACAATTATTCATCTGCTTCAGTTTTAGGTTAAGCAAAACAAGCTATTCAGTCCAAAATGACAATGATAAAGAATATTATTAAACCGAGAGAAAACTACTTCAAATTCGGGGTGCAAAACGGATGCAGTACATTATACTGTAACGTCTTACAGATCTTAACTACATTCAGACTCCAGATTATGTTTGTTAGGTTTTTAAAATATTTGCTTGTTGCCATTAACCTTCAAGAGGTAGGAGAGCTTTTTTAATGGCGGAAAGGTATGTTTTACGTTACGTTGGGCCCGAAGCTGAAGGTGGAATAAGCCATTTATTCACCGTGCATACGATCGTGAACGAAGATTAATGCTAACCGCCTTCAAGAATCTGAAGAACGTATCCGTCGTGTCTTCATGTCCCGCTAATTAGCTAGTAATTTGTTAAGTTTCAGGGAATTATAGGAGACATGATTATAATGTTTTGAATTATTTGAATTATAGCACGAACTCAGAGTCCCAGAAATAACGCAATTGAATTAAGAAGTGAGACACAAGCACAAACGAATGTATTGTATTTGGAATTCGAAATCAAGCATTCAACAAGTACAAATGTATCATTAGTTCATTCAAACACCACAATGATACACCAGGACCACATCCTTCCTGTTTTTCTGTACCTCTTCTGTTTAAGATTTGGAACTTTGTAAAGGACTGAGTGGGGTCTCTTTTTTGGCATGAGTCCTTTTTTAGCTTGATACACAATGAATTTGGTCTACAGTAGGACGTTGTTTTGCCTTTGACACTTGCATAGCCATAAAGATGCCACGGGTAATCAAAGATTGAGAAAAAATTTTCACGTAACACCTTTATAATCGAAAGATACCAACCCATTCAAATCAGAAGTCAGAAATTAAGGAGATTCAAATACTTATTTGGAAGGCCAATGATATATGGAGGAGCATTTTGTGTTAGTTGCCTAACGGTCTCAAAGTATGCGTAGCACATTGTACCTATGGATGTGTGACCGGGCCTCTTTAGTTGGATGTGTCCGGTAAAATTAATGAGGTCAGCATCAAATTTGAAGACTTACAGAGCTACTGACTTTGGGGGTTGTTTACCATTTCAGCTCACTCTTTCCCTATAGTGGTAGTGACGACCCAAAGACGTGGCCAGCTAAAGTCTGAACCCAATGAGCTTTTTGTTAGTAAACACTGTCCTGATGGCTTTATATGTTATGCAAATTCTGGTCGTCTTTCCCCGATATAAGGGGACATGTTGTACAGTATAGCAATAGGGAAATGTGTATTAAAAATTTTTATTACTAGTATTTTTGTCAATTTTTCCATACTTTCCAGCCGTCCAGGAGGAGAATTAGGATATTGTAGGTGCATGTTAAAATACATTAACACGTGCGTCAGGAAAATTAACTGGCATATATGTGTTTTATTCACATGGGATAGCTTAATAACAATATTCGCACAATGATTGTTTTTTAGAAAATAAATAATACGCGCATATGCATGAGCATATTAGAAAAAGTAGTGTTCGTCTTTGATTTGAGCGTACAGGAGAAAAATCAACACTACTAGGGTCTCCTTCCAAATGCGTGGAATTAAACCGTTAATCTTGAATGACGTCATCGTTGGTTTTGTTATGTTTATGATAAAGAGCGTTGAAGAGTTTAGCTTACTCATTCTTGAATACGGTATTTCAGTTTATAGTAATCGCGGGCATAATGACCTGATTAAAACTGAAGGTGTTCAAAGAAGGTTCACTGGAGCTGTTTTGGGGTGTTCCGACAACAAGGGTTATCACCAAAGATGTCAATAACTCAAATTTTAACCTCTTTGCATCAGGCATATCAAATAAAAACATTGTCTTTACCTACCAGCTTATTAACGGTACTTCTTGCTCTTCGGTATCTACCCCTTCCTACTTTATGACACCATCCCACGACCTACGCAATAAGGAAAATATTCTAGCGATTCCGAGCACCTACAAAAACTTACGCCAGAATTTCTTCGTTATTAGCTACTCAACCATGTGGAACAGACTGCCAGTGGACCTCCGTTGCAGTGAAAGTAAAACCCGGTTCGGAAGTTCTCTTGATGATTTTTATTCCGAACGTGGATTGTGTCATTTATTGAATATCAAATTTTAATAATGATTTATGCGAACAAGGTCCGTCATCCATCTGTTTGATTATACTTTGGAACTAATTGTAACTTTCATAGCATCATTCTTAAATATTATTGCACAACAGTTTGTACTAATATCAAGTTTTACTCTGAATCCTATCAAATAGCTTTACATGTATTCACCCGAGTGCACTAAAAATTAACAGAATTAAAGATTTGCTTCAGAGGTAGATACTCATCTTAAGTATTTCCTTCATCACTCCAAAAGGATCAGGACACTCTGGAGCGTATCCGACGGCGAGCCACGAAATCAGTTCGAGGACTCAAATTTAAACCTTATGAGGAGTGCCTCCAATCACCTAACCTTTACCCATTAGAGTATAGGCATCTTAGAGGTGACCTTCTAATGGCTTACAGTATCCATAACACTTCTGGACATCCTCTTAAACACCTACTTAAGCTTAGTTCGAATAATAACCTAAGGGGTGACACCCAGAAATTGGAGATACAACATAGAAGAACGGACAGTAGACACAACTTCTACTCCTTAGGAGTTGTCAAATGCTAGCCGAGCTAGCCAAAGCGACTTCCTAGGAGTCCTTTAAGAGGCAACTTGATCTATTCTTAAGGTATAAGGATAGTATCATACTATGATTTACCAGTTTCTTTTTCCTCTTTTATCGTTAACATACCTAGGTTCCTGCCTGGAGGTACTCGTGATCCCCAGCTACTAGACACGGAAGCCTGTTAAGCGAAAGCTTCTTCTGTTCCGTCCACAACCATTTGAACCATTTGAAAAGGCGGAAATACAGATTGTTGGGCTACTGATTTGTTTCGGTGTTTGATGTTTCACACAAATGTTCCCAACCTCAGGTTTTTTTCAGGAGTTGCTGTGCCCAGCCTTCAGTGAAGGGAACTGCGATAGACCATACTGCCATTTCAATCATTTTGATGGGCAAAGTCAGTAATCTCCTTAAAAGTTATTACAGTACCCAATCTATGTACAGATTGTAATATTTTGTTTCTCTGTAATTTATGTGTAATTTTGGATAATATCAAAGCCACGAAAATTTAGTCGCAAGCGTTCTTGCATGGTCCGACTTAGTTGCACGTATATGGGCACTACGTAGTGCCCATATTTGACGAGTGCTCGCCAAATTAACTGGGCTAACAAGTAAAGAGGGGTGAGGTAGATAATGAGGATATAAGGAAAACAAACGGGTTGGGAGTTGTTAGTTGTCCATACTAACTATCCGAGCTACTTCAGTTGTTGGAGACCAACAGCCTCATCGGTCGAATTGCCATCCTTATCTAGTGTATATAAACTAGTAGTAGTGTATACTACGTAGGACATTTTATATCCAGGGAGACAATCAGCTTTGGGGACCAGATAAGCTGAACATCATGTTAATTATGCAGTGCGATTTTCGTTTTACAGCTTGCTGGAAAAGTAAGTTTTGGTTGTTGGGAAATCAAACTGGTTATTTTTAGAGACAATTGACGGTCCGTTTTTTGGTCAAAATCTGATTTGCTGGAACTATTTCTTTCAGACACGTTGCCACATGTTCGATGAACTTGTTTCTATCTTTGTTATGACTCATTAGCTTGCTATCATGGACTGTAAGACATTGGGACCACAGCTAATATATTTAATTCAAGAATTCATGCATGGACGTCTTTGGTACTGTCGAGTTTCAACTAACCTAAACAACTTTTAGGCGAGGTAGTTGTAGACTTAAGAATATAGCCTTAATCAAATTACTTTTGACCAAACGTCTCTTAGAAGTGTAGCCATATAGATTTAACAAATTTCTGCAGCATTGAATACTAAGAGGCACCCTTAATCACCGGAACGATGTTTTATAATTATAAATTTATTTGTACGTCGAGGCACTAATGTATACAATACAAAGTATGAAATAGTTGGAGAGAAGTTCGGGACGGAAAACTATGTGCTAGAATTGGGATAGCATGTATTAAATAAAATAATCACGACCCAGGTAAATTTTACTTGTCCCTAAGAGACATCTTAATGTTAATAAGCAATAAAATAAAAACTGCAGCAGATTGGTGCCATTTTTTGTTTCCAAACATGTCTAATTATGGTAAAGATGACAATGGTGAGAACTCGTAGCTCTCAACCGATAGATTAAGGCTTTGCATCTCACCCCACGTGTTTTGTCCTATACAGTCGGGTGGTATCAGTTCTCACATTAACAGTTAGGCTCAAGACCAAGCACGCGTATCTAGAAACATTATTTTTCATGTCAGGGTCTCATGACTTTTAGGACTCCGTCCATTCAGTTGTAATGAAGCAAGGGCTATTAAGTCAATGGAACCGTTCTTTGTTATATATCGTCATATTGTAAACCATCTATACCTTTATTTTTAACATTCAGTTAGTGCCAAAAAGTAATATGCAGCGTGGGAGTATTTAGGACACGTGAAATATGTATTTATTAAATCCTTATCATGGACATATACAAAATATTGCTGGTTTTTGCGTTATTATCGAACATCAGTAATCTATCGGAAATCACGATAATCAAACACAAGCAGCTATCGGATATCTTCTGTTCGATAATTTTGAAATTCAGCTCTATCGGACTAAATTAATCTGGTTGACACTTCACAATGCTTTATTTATGATCTATGTTTCACTACTAGAGATTCACAAATGGTTGAGATGTTTAGTATTTCACATACTTAAGGAAATAAGTAAATTATGGTGTAGTGATTGTACACTCCATTATCATGTTATGTACCTGGTATTAATGTACTGGAGGTAAATTATTTTGTATTCTTTGCGGTTACTTGTTTGGTTAAATTATTTGGTACAGCAGAACTGTCAGGTTGCATATTTTTAACTAAGCAATCAAGTTATATAATCAAATAGTGAACAGCTGTCTACTTACGTACTTCAGGGGTTTATGACTTGTACTTAACTGTATTATTCGTCCAAGGTCAGGTTAAGCTGTTATTCTCAGGGATGAAATTATGAATGAAGTGCAAACAAAATTTGAACAGTGTGTACATATATTTGAAAGTTAGTGGTTTCAAATGCTGTTTGCAACTAAACTTAGCCTTATTGTCCTCAAAAAACTATAAGTTATGCTTCCGTGATATCCTATTTTACGTCTTTTGGTGTTTTAGTTTTGGAGAATGTAGCGGCTTAAATAGACAAATATGTTTCTAGGAATACTTTTATTTTATCTGAACACAAACATTGGTACAAAGGGGAAACCAAATATCCATATGCACCACACAGTAACAATGATAATGAGAAGAGATAAAGAATGTAAAATGCGTATGAGAAAAAGGAGAACAATAACGAACAGAAATTAGTGTACCATAGTGAAATAATAATGGAAGAAGCAGTTCAGCTAAAAAAGTTATGTTCACTTTTTATGAAGAAAGTAAAAGGTTACAGCAGAATCTCCACTGGCTTCTATTCTGAACCATATTTGATAACATCTATATCCACTGTGTTGCACCATCTCTCGGACCCCAACCAGGGAGTCGTGAAGGACCGACACAAGCCAGTCCTTTTCAGCTTTCTTTTATACCACGACACCACCTCTACGGTTTTTCCAACCTGTCCCAGTGTTGGAAAGTAATGCACGATGCGGAATTCTCTGAGACGACATTCGTAGGACATGTCCAAGCCACTGAACTCGATATTTCAAGATGGTGGCACTAACTGAAACATAGTCTCTCTGTCCGAACACACGATGCCGAACCTCTGCATTACTAACATGGTGTTGCTTCTGGATGTCAGCAATCATTCAGAGATAACGATAATCTAACAGAGAGTCGTCTAACATCCTCAATTCGGAGAGGTCAGGTGTCACAAGCATAGAGTGAAACTGCTCTTAAATGATGATTACCATTGGAAAAATTATTCTTTGGGAATACTAGTTTCTTAATAACTTATTTCTTTACTCACTAAGCTTTTCCCACCAGGGACAGGATTTTATGTGGGATGAACTTGTTGAAAGAAATATGAAAACCATACGTCCTGTTTCCGCATTAACGAGTTAAGCGTTAGTTGTACAATGAATATATTCTCAACTCAGAAAATCTTACAAACAAATGGGTATTGCGATGGAATGATCACTAAGCTTGCTTTACTTATCTTGGAAATTCCATCAATTTCGGCGGATTGGTACACGAGTTCAGAAAACCCAGTTAGCGTTTGCCAGTTTGCCTCGCTTGTGGCGTAGGCGAAATATCCGTCACCAAACCAAAGGGCGTGTACATTGAACAGCAGTTCACTCTTTGCTACTTTAGGGCGTGAACATGGTTTATGAAAGTAGAAAGGATGCGTAGGCTGAAGATTTTCGATCCTGACTGTCTTCAAAGCATTTCACGCGTTTCGTTGGACGACTGACTGACCAATGCTGAAGTTAGGTATAGAGTACATTTGAAGATGGTAATTCAGTTGATGAGATTGTAAACATTCACCAATTGAGATAATGGAAACACATGTTAGGTATCCCCATCCACCACCTACCTCGGCACGGGACGCCTGGTCTAGGAGTAGGTTGAAAGAAAGCTAGGGGTTAGGGCAAATCAAGACGTGGCATCAGTCCATGAAGTAGTGGACTGTTGGTCTGGGACATTTTGGTGGATGCAGGCTATCTGATTGTGTTTTGTGCGGTAACTGCGATCAGTAGTCGGGAGCTTTGTATGACATGGCTTGGGATTGTTCAGAATGGTTCAAATGTATTCCCTCTTAATCTTCCTCTCGATCTTGAATCCCAGTATTCATTTGTATGCACTTTTACATACTGCCTTTTCGAACCATATCCTCAATGTTTAGTCTTTCTCATCATTATTGCAACTGAATTATTTCGATCTCTTTAGTTGTTTTCATCTGATCGTGCTAATTAGGTATGGGAAGTTAGGTCAGTATTAATTCGTGTCTTTACCGCATACGTTTAGCGAAACTGAAAAAAAGATCCACCGAACGACGAGATTAAGCAGTTTATGCTTTACTCTCTCCATACAGATGACTTCTTCACTGCCCTTAATAATAAGGTAGAGTACAATAGGATTTGAAAACATCCATTCATTTATGACGTTTACTTCATATGAAAAAATAATAGTCTCATTTTTAGGCAATTTATGAACAAGGAGATTAGGTAAACCACTAAAAAGAAGTGTGCAAATAAAACGTACATTAGTTAACCTGTATACCCATTTTAAAATTCTTGACCTCTGTGGTATTAAAAAGAGCTTAGTGAAGTGTCTGACACAGTATCATGCATATTTGTTGTGACAAAACAATCATGGGAAAGCTGTTAATTATTCCCAACCTAGTTTTATTTGATATGTGGTGGGATTTATCAAGTGACATGGAGTTTGGACCAAGGGCAAGTCAATAAAATTTATCGTTCATTTTTAAATATTCTGATTATTATTTTTCGTAATAATTACTTGGTTTATGCTCTTTTCTTCTTTACAGGTGTTCCTGAGGAAAACGTACTATCTATAACGGTAATTAGTTTGTTATCTAAAATTTAATGTGTTAGAAATCATGTAAGCCCTCTGTTGATCCTGTATATAAACCGACCCCTATCAGTGTTTTGGAAAAACGTACTGAAAATTCACAAAACTACCTTGATATTGAATGTAATAAGAATGCCACTTGTGTGCAAAGTGTTTATGAAGAACCCATTCCTGTTTATCAACCAACTCCAATAAGTGAATTGGAAAAATATGCGCCTAATTCCTTGTCTGATTATGGATTTTCTAAGGGATTTATACCACAAGATCAACCATCATATTCTCCTGTGGTCAAGATAAAAACAATACCTTCGCCTTCTCCATTTTTATATCAGCCTTCTCCTTCGGTTACAGAATCATCTGCCTCTTCGTATGCTAAAGAAGTTATTAACATTAACGTAGACTCGGATGAGGATACTCCTTCTCCGACTGTCGCTCAGGATAATCCTGGTGACTTACGAACTGTATCTGTGGCTAAAGGTGTCCAAAACTCACGAAATGATAAGCCGAAAACTAATGGATCACCTAAACATAGTGAAAAATCAAAGCGTAAAGTGAAGGTTTTCAAAAACAAAGAAATAACCATTCCCAATGAACTAAATGTCACAAAGACTAGTGACGAAAAGTCTGTGGATAGTACAGACAAGGATAATGAAGATGACAGCAATTGCACACTTTCTAAACGTCAAAAAATCTTATCTCTTTATCAAGACTTATACGGTGATATTGATAACGATAGCTCGGTAGATAAAAACAGTCTTCCCAAGAATGCTTCAAAGTCTGCTACGCTTATTCCACCGTACATGAGTCCAGTTTTTAAAAAGCCTGAGACGGCAAGTATAGATAAGAAGAGCGATAATGTAAGTCTAAAGTATTTGTCTAGAAATCCGTTTATATGCTGTTTATTGTAATGGCTTTTTCAGCACTTATGATTTCTGTAAATTAACTAATGCAGTATTATCTAAGTTAGATCGTCTTAATATTTTGCTACTATTTGCTCAAACTACGAGCTTCTGTGACAACGGTTAATACGTACTCTTTTTTACCGACAGGTAAAACAATGTTTTTCGCACAAGCCAATGGCTACCTGGACTCTATAGCCAAGTGGATGATGAGATGGTATTTGAGGTGAAATTTATTGGATTCGAGTCCCAACGTGAGCATCGACTCTGAGATCCAGGTACATCCAGCTAACGATTTCAAAATAGGAAGAAACGCGCGTCCTGGATTCTACTGCTAGCCACCATCCATATAATTGAATTTTCACGATTTTTGATGCTGAAATTATTAGGCCAACCTTTTTTACACTTACTAGATGTCACTAGTCACTTTCTTCACTGTAACAAGTGGCTAATGATTTTTCCCGACTACTGAAGATGCGAGTAAACTACAGGTGCTCAGATATAATAGGTTCAGGTTGAATATTTCTGGAAGGGTTTGTTTACAATAAACGTGATTCCAGTTATAAATATCGTGTAACTTCAGGTGGAATTTCCGGAAAAGCTATAAAATATTGGTTACCACAGATCACGTAAATGATCTATAAATACTTAGTCTGTGTTAAGTACATTGATATCATGTTGGTTAACAAATTCCCAACATTTCTAGAGTCGTTTACTTCTGAATATATTTTTGTGATAATCAAACTATGTTAATTATAATTCGTTTGCTAAATACAGATTCGCGCATTACTTAATTTCAAGCCACACTATGTACGGGCTAGTGATGTTACGTGGTTGTCCAAACTGAGTTAGATAAAAATGTGGTCCAAATCTACTACCCAATAATTGATTATTAACCACTAATTTACCGTGAAAATAAATTTAATTGAAGTTTTTATCTGTTGAATTTGCTTTGCTACCTTAGAAATCTAGTATAGTTTGTTTTCGAAACAGAAAGTCCCCATATAAATAGCCAGAGTAGTGTGAAGACTATGTTAACTATTAGATGGTTATTGGGGACAATTTAACGCGGTTATCGTGTCGATTTACATAACTATGGCTCAATGGTGTGGGCACTCTTTTCAGTCATGGGACCTTCAAATTCTAATGTTGCTCCGAATACTATAAATTCAGTGACTCAAGTGTCTTTAATCTTTACACAACAAACTTATAATTTAGTAAATAATCATGTACATTATTGTGGACTGTTGTTATTAGAGTAGTTTATGATTGTCTATAAATCGGCTTTTTTTAAGCTAACGTAGATGTTCAAACATTAGTAAAGAATCATATTTTCAACTGAAAACGAACTCATTTGACCCCATTTTTTATATACTGTCTAACGTTTTATGCGTTTATGTTTTCTACCGAATTGTCTTCAAACGTTAGGTTATTGCTTCAGGAAATGTACAACATGAATATGTTACAAGACCTCGTATTCCACTACGCAAAAGTGACAAAATTCCCATGCCAATTAGAACTCGCTATTTGGACCAATTTATTGAAGAGTGCCTTTTAATATATGACCATCCCTCTGATGCATACAAGCGTGTAGGTTTAACTTGCCTTAAAAACTGCGTACGATTGTTTGTTTCTAACAGGTTTACATTTTCATTAGATTTTCTTGAGTTATGCAATATTCTTTAAGTTTGATCATTTAACGTACTGCTGTTAGTTATATCCTCCGATTTGACTGTTATGCCCTGATAATTACCCTTAGTTGTAATACCTGTATTATTATGGTTACTCAGATCTATTTTGATTGTTTTATTTAGTTTGCTTACCTGTGTGTACTATAATGTCCTAAGATTGGATAGATAGACTTTCCCTTAGACATCATTACACTTTTTGATTAAATTCTTAACCTTTTACTCTCTGAGTTGTAACATTAGTGATATTTGACTATATGATTTTATATTTGTATCAGATTACAAAATTTAATCGTCATTATACATCAACCTATGCCTTTTCTTTTGCAACAACTATCAAATAATTGATAGCTTACAGGTAAATGTCAATTTAAATATTGATGACTAATGACAAACCTACTGAATATACACACGCTCTTTACTCTTTATTTTACTTCTGTTATTCTTTTTTCTTATACTTATGTGCTTCATTGTTTATGAAATCGAGTTTAAATGATCGCAGTAAGCTATTGTTTTACTAGAGTCATCACGAATACTCTGGTCATATGTGTCACCTTGCTATGGAACCCCAGCGTGCTTAAAACTAGTAATCAAGCTAGCTCAAATGCATAGTTTTTATAAATCAAAAAGTTCTTCAACCATCTCTTTACTTTGCTGAGAATTTGATGTTGTATCAAATATATAACATTGAATAAAACCAATATTACTATTCTTATTATTATTTTGAATCGGTGAACAAGCCTAGTAAATATTCAAATGGGATTTGGTGCATATATCCTTCATAAACATACAGTACGGTATACCCTAAATGTATTTATTTGTGGATGATTAAAAAATATGATTGTTATTTCTATTTCGACTGAGTAACGATAGTAGTGTGGTGTATGTTACTTATGTTGACAGATATAAGTAGCATGTAACATCAATCGGAAGTGGAATGTATATCAACAGAAGATCGAGTAGATTCAATTGAAGAAAACAGAAAGTAATTGTAATAACAACAGAACTGGAAGAATCATGAAACATGTAAGGGACAACTGATAGAAGATGTGCAAATTATGTATTTAATGTATCGTTTTCATATTTTACGTAAGCACTCTGTAACTATGTATTAAACAATAAATTGGTTTCCCCACTTAAGTGTTCGTTCAATACAATGCCAGTTAGTATAATGTAATACTATTTCATTTGAGGCGTTTTATCCCTCGTAAGTATCTTAGTTACTTTTGATGCTACATTGATTGTAATTTGTCATAAAACTCAAAAAATCATGTTTAATCTATTTTTCAGGGTTTTCACCAACTCTTATTAATTAATACATGGATTATTAGTTTTCAAAATTAAAGTTTATGCTGAAGAATTTGTTTATGTGGTAGATAAGTTAGGTACATTGACAAATTTAATTTAATCATTTAAAATTTAACCTCAATAATACAGTAACATTTTAATTTAACTGTATACAACATCAGTCTTCAATGTACGTGTAGTGAACGAGAACTCAGTTGGGGACAACTAATTTATTGTTTACTGTAAAATTACAGAGTTCTTTCTTAAAATATGAAAACCATACCTTATTTATTTATTTGAACACATAAATATTAGTACAATAGGGCACCAAATATATATGCGACACAAAACAATGGGAATTCGAAGAGAAAAAAGAACAATAACGAATAGATTAGTGTAAGGTGGTTTAATAATAATAACAAGAAGAAGAAGAATGGTAGTAATGGGGGAGAAGGAAAGATACAATCAGAAGAAATCTTTCAGTTAAGAAAGATACAATCACTTTTTTTATGAAGAAAGTAAAAGAAGGTTACACCAGGATCGCCACTAGCTTCTATTCTGAGCCAAATCTGATAACGTCTCTAGCCACTGTGTCGCACCATCTCCCGGACCCCAGCCAGGGAGTCGAGAAGGACCAACAGAAACTAGCCCTTTGCAGCTTTCTTTCATGCCACGACACCATGTCATATACTGACCACCTCTCCGCTTTTTCCAACCAGTCCCAGAGTCGGCAAATAATGCACGACCTGGAATTCTCTGGGAAGACATTCGGAGAACATGTTCAAGCCACCGAAGTCGATGTTTCAAGATGGTAACACCAATTGAGTTATCGTCTCTGTGCCTGAACACATGATGGCGAACCTCTGCATTACTGACATGGTGTTGCCACTGGATGTCAGCGATCCTTCGGAGACAGCGATGATCAAACACAGAGAGTCGTCTAACATCCTCAACTCGAAGAGATCAGGTTTCACAAGCATTGAGCAGAACTGCTCTCACCGACGCTTTGTAAATCCGACCTTTTACGGCCAGACTAACATCACGAAGGCGCCAAAGGTGGCCCAGATTGGCATAAGCTGCTCTGGCTTTCACTATACGTGCATTGATCTCAACACTCACGCCAACACCAGCACTTATGCAGCTACCCAGATACACGAACTTCTCGACTACTTCTATCTGCTCACCATCCAGGGTGAGTACAGGATTAGGATCCTGCCAGTCTTGTAGAAGTACTTTGCACTTCGAAGGTGCAAAGCATATACCATACCTACGGACACTGATTGCCAACTGATTAAGTGCGGATTGTATGGCTTGAGCATTATCGCACAGTAAGACAATATCATGCGAATACTCAAGGTCGAAAAGTCTTTCTTCAGGCGACAGATCCACACCTCTATTGCTTACATCCATCAGATCTGTTTCCAGAATGTCGTCGATGGCCAAGTTGAAGAGGAATGGTGAGATCGGGCAACCCTGTCTAACCTCACTGCTTGAATGGAACAATGGAGAGAGGTGGTTGTATGCCCTCACTCTGCCTGAGGTGTTTGTATATAGGGCCTTCAGGATGTTAATAAACTTCCCAGGCACACGCTTATTCAATAGACAACCTCAGAGAACAGTCCTGTCCAACGAATCGAAGGCAGCCCTGATGTCAAGAAACACTACGGTTGTTGACCTTTGATAAGTATGGCAGTATTCTAACATTTGGTGGAAGGTGAAGATATGATCAATACATCGTCGACCAGAACGAAAACCAGCCTGCTCCTCGCGAGTCAATCTTTCTCGGGTTTTGAACAACCTACGAAGTATGACGGAAGCCAATAGTTTGGACGCAATCGGAAGTAGACTTATCCCCCGATAGTTGTTACAGTAAGGACGTGAACCCATTTAAAAGATAGGGATAACTATCGACTCGTTCCAGGACGTTGGAACACTCTCTAGTCCCCAGAACTTTGTAAACAACACAGTCAGTTCATTAGTCAGAAAGTCACCATCATCTTTAAAAAGGGCCGGAGGTAAGTCATCTCGGCCTGGTGATTTGTAACGCTTCAAGAGTTGGAGTTCCTTGCGAATTTCCGCCTCAATTGGTGGACCAGTCGTTACCGGCCATGGAGGGCAGGACAGTCTGACCGATGTTGCCAGAGCAACAGGCCAGTTGAACTGCCCTTCGAAGAATTCTGCCCATCCTCCAAGATGTCGATTGATGTTAGTGATTGGCATCCCGTCATCCTCGCAGATTGTTTCGCTCACACCAGACTTCTTGCTGCCAGTGGCTCGGATGAGTTGGAAGAGCTTCCGGTAGTTACCAGATGCAGCTGCTGCTTCCAGCACATTAGCACGCTTCGACCACCAGGCTTCTCGGTCCTTACGCAAGCTTTGCCCAATTTCATTACGTAACATCCTTTGGTTATGGTCAAACTCACGGTCACCCGGAGTAGACCGACGGGCTTCAATGAGTTGCAAGGAACCTGCAGAAACCCAGTGCTTATAAGCGGGACGTTTCGCCAACCCACAAGTGACTTTACTCGCCATTTTCATGGCGTCTTGCAATCGCAACCAATGCTCATCTAAACTTTTCGGTGGAATGATAGCTAGCCTAGAAGCTAGCTCGGTTCGATACTTACTTGCAACAGGAGTTACAACCAACTTGCTGACATCAATTCGTTGGTGGCGGTTACTTCGTTGTCCACTGAAAAGTAAGGTGAGATTAGCGCAGACCAAGACATGATCAGAGTCCAGATAGGTACTACAAAAGGAGCAGCAGTCTTGTACACAACCACGCCAGCGGTAGCTGATCGCGATGTGATCAATCTGAGTCCAGGCTTGAGATGCAGAGGGAGGACGCCAGGTGGCACATCGGCGATGACTGTGCCGAAAGTTAGTGCTAGCCAGAAACAGGTTGTGGTCTGTGCACAGTTGCAGTAGACAGTCCCTGTTATTTCACCTGCGACCAACAATTTCCCATCGACCACCCAAACGACTCTCTTCTGTGCCTAGACGCCCGACCTGAGCATTCAAGTCTCCGGCTAGTACTACAATATCTGTCGAACGCACTTTCTGGAGAAGAACAGATAACTGGTGGTAAAACTCATCCTTGATTGCATGCGGGCTGTAATCTGTCGGAGCATAGGCGGAGATGACGAAAAGACATCGTTTCTCACACCGATTTTTTCTCACTTTGATGGAACTTTCTAATCTCACAGCACATAACCGACTGTTAATGGGGATCCAGTCGATTAGTGCTGCCTCAGCTCTAGCGTTCAGTGCGACACCAACGCCAGTAAGGCCAGACGAAGATGCCACAAGGTCCCCGGATAAGCGCACGTAAAACAAGCTTTTCGAAGCGACATATGGAGAGCAAATTTGTAGTACTTCACCAGAGTCTTGAATACTGGTCTCGGATAGACAACAGACGCCTATATTAAAACTTTCCAAAGACATAGTCATCTCTATCTGTTGTCCGTCCTGCATAAGTGTGAGAACGTTGAAGGCAGCCAGTTTGAATGGTGCATGTGGTTTTAGGAAAACTGCTTCAGTATTCGTATTTGGTGGTAACATACAATTTTCAACCAGGCAGAGACTCGAGAACGTTTGGATAGAACCGAGTTTCCACCATTAGCGAGCTGCTGTATAAGTCGAAAAATAATGATTGACAGAGTGGGAATAAAAGAGAGTGAATAAATGACGTAGTAAATAATAATAATAGTAATAATAATGATAATAATAACGTGAATCGTCTGACTGTTAATCGAAGCAAGTATAGTATTTTTCGTAAGTATTGTCATTTCATTCTGTTTGTGTGTGGGCTGTGATACTGCCCGTGTGCCCAGACCGAAGCAGGTGGTTTTCTTAGGGGACCACACCCCGAGCCTTTGACCTTAAGGTCTGCCCCACAAGGCAGTGGAGCATCGTTAGGAGATCCAGTCTCATGGTAGCCGGTGACCAAAAATGGGTTCATACGCCATTTGTTCCCTCAGGATACTGGAGCCCATGTGCACCATTGATTTGGGATTCGGTGGAAGCCACGGACATTCGCTTTTCGTCCTCTCATTTTCGTAAACAACACCCCCGCCACGAGAAGGCAGTGAGTAGGACTTCCCTGGCAGAGGCTGTATACGCGTGGCCGTGTGAGAGCATTTCGAGAGGGAGGGGCGGGCTCATCCTACTCTCGACCGTACCAGGTCATTTGGGTGTTATCATACACTAAATGCTGCATGTGCAAATCTTCCATCAATTGTCCTGTACATCATTTATGAATCTTCCAGTTCACAATTCCTTTCTGTTTTCTTCAGTACAGTCTTCTCAACCTTCTTTTGACAAGCATTTATCTTCTGAGTGGTGTTATGTACTACTTATGTCTGTCGACGTAAGTGTAATACACTACATACGTCTTATATGTTCGTTACCCTGATATTGGTCAATAACTCAGGACATCTTAATAAATAGCTCTTATTTTGTATAATTTGCTAGTAAGCTAGAAAATTTAGGAAGTTATCATGATGGTCAGCTGTATAGTTCTCATCGCAGTATATTTTAAATCAAATGTCAATATTATTATTATTGTTATCATTATTATTATTGATATTGTTTAGGCTCTTGAAGATGAACAAGCTTGTCATGACAAAGCAGGTAGTCGAATGGCATATTTAAATGCTGTAATCCAACGGCTAAAATGTTTGAAAGCAGAAAAAAAATCCATACAATTAGGTGAGAAATCGAAAATTTCATCCAGTCTGACGGTAGTTACACGTCCTGCAATCACTAGTTCACATTTATCTGCTTATGATTCAAATAATAATGCTAAGAAAGATGATGCTGAGGAAAAACTTGACTGTTTAGTTAAAGGTAATTTATTCTTTACTCCCTATTCATTCTGTTCCTTTAATTCATTTTGACTTTAGAAAATGTCAGTTATGTATTTTAGTATTGTTTATTGTCTCTTTCGATAATTATTGGACATTTCATCAGTAGTTGTCGAATGATTATTCTTCAATTTAAGCTAAACTTGAGCTTAATTATTGAAATATTAATTTTTTTATAGTCTACATTCTAAATGTACATTTAACTGAGATTTAATGCACAACTCACTTACACCCTTAGCATTGGTCACTTTGATCTAATAAATTAGTTGATCATCTATTATTTATTATTTATCGTATTCAAAACTTGATCTGTAATAATTGTGATTCATAAACATACTGTTGGTTTTTTATACTTTATCTATTGCTTAGGTACTGAATGACAAAAAATGAATTGAATACCATATTAAGTTAATCTAGGTTTCTTGGCAAATCAATACATTTTTCTCTCAAAAATGTTTATGTAATAGGCAAGTTCATAAGCCTATCTAGATAATTGTAGCTGACATATAATAGAACTAATAATCATTCAGATCTATAGATTATCACATCAGAAGTAAAGCGTTGGCTTGGTGATTAAAGCACTCGGATTTCTAAAAGTGGATCGTAGATCCAAACGTCGTTCTACGTACTTTATTTTATATAGCCAAGTTTTATTACTAGCCACTACACAGTTTGACTTGAATTAGGCTACGTAAAAATATGGTCGAAATACGCAACTTTTAATTGCTGTATTACAGGTTTGAACCCTGCCTCACGTATTTTGCATACGTCAGGCCCACATACATTAGAGGGATGTGTAACCTTCACTTGGTTCCTGAGTTAAGTTGACTCATCAATACTGACATTCCTTCTATATTATTGTCTCTGATGACAGCATTTCCCACTTGTTACTTGTGCAGTACATTTAGAATGTTACAAACGTGACCATTGTTGTCAAATAAATGTGCGAAATAAATGATTAAAAATGGGTATTTACAACAAACGCTATGTATATGTAAGACGGCCTTTAATCTGTCAAACAGTATAGTGGTCTTGGGCTGTACTTAAAAAACATGTATCTAGAACAAATAAATAATATATTTGTAATATGCCCAATGAGTAGAAAAATTAGATTTTCTGACGTTTCGTGGCTTAGTATAAGTTACTTCTTCAGGGATTAAATAACAATCTACCCAATGCACAATTTATTCGAAACTATCAAATCAAACCTTGGTAATGATACCTACAAACTCATGTATCTAGAACGTTTACTGACATCATAGAAGGTCTATGCGTATTGAAGACCTACAACCACATTTTTTATAGTTATAAATCAGTTTTTTGTTGTATTAAGATTTTTATGCTATAAAAGTTACTTTTTTATTAGTAATAATAGTAATATTAATGACGATAATAATAACAATAATAATACAACTAACCCATTCACCAAGTAACGTTTATGAGCGTCACTTAGTGTGAAGGCCAATTGTATTACCTGCTTACCCAAACTGTAGGTGGAGTCGGGGTTCGAACCAGCAACTAAATCCCAGGTTTAAACCTCAACTCACCTACTTCACATTGGGCCACTAAGTAGTACTATTAGCTCACACTTAGAATGTCATTCCTACCCAAGTACCTGGTGAATGAGTGTTTCCTCAACGGTAATGTAAATAATATTAAGCACTGTGTGTATATTTTTTCCACATATAAAATTCCATATCTTTACAGTTCTTTTCTTTATTCATGAGTTGTTTTTGATCATGTTTACGTTCTTCTTTTTGTTTGAAAAAGTAACTTTTCTTTTTTAAAGGACCTCTTCTGTATAGTCAATTAACATCTTATTTATTATCGGAGGAAGATTTGTTAGCAAATGGTTATCCTCTCGAATTAGTAGAAAATGACACAATTATTCGTGGGAAGGCTGCTCTGTGTTTACCAGAAAATAAGAATCAGTTATATGGTAATTGTCAATGTAAGTTAGTTAACATATTGTGAATTACAGTTATTATTTGGATGGTTAACTCAATGTTCACTTTTTAAACATTGTCTATGTGTTCTATGTGGTTTAATGCATATGATTAAACCATTTTAAAGAAAGGATATTTTGCTGTTGTTGTATATTCATCGTATGGTTCGATGTTAACTTTTTAAAATATTGTGGTACATGCATATTACTTTTTTTTCTGATAACATTTTATTCTATATCCATTCGAGCTCTACAGAATAATCTTAATCAATATTACATTATTTTGAGTTTGATAAATTATTATTATTTTTTCAAAGCATATCATGTTGCACGTATTCAAGTTGTTTACTATATTTAACTAGATTTTAATTGAAACTGTCATAATTATCTGAATATGGCTTGTCTGTTAAGCATACTGATCGTCGGCATATTAGTTAGTCAGTGTAACTAGTCAGTATCTTTTCAAATCTGCAGTGATGATTAGATTCTATCGTCTTTGTTTACACTATGGGAATCAGGCTAAATGACCTAATAATTCCGGTACAGTTTGTCTTGATGTTAGATGATCAGATAGGGTCAATACAAAGTTTAATTTAGGTTTTTTGTAGTAGTTAGTTATCATTAACATGTTGTATCTCAAATGTTAGGTGAATTAATGCTGTCTTAGAGATTTGAACTTGGGCCAGAAGTTAAGCGTTCGCGCGCGAGACCGAAGGTCCTGGGTTCGAATTCCGCGTGTTGGATCATGGGTGCTCACTTCTGTAGAATCCCATACTAGGACGAAATGACCTTGCACTGCTTCCAGGTTTTCAATGGTGATGTAGTTTAGATCGGTTTATGGTTTCAATGAAATTCAACAATCTCCACAACCCCTTACTGTATATCTGTTACTAGTTATATTCATTCAAGAATTCGAACTAGTTTGTGTTTGTATCTGATATATTTACGGAATTATTCAATGTTTCATTGAATAGCAACAATTTTCGCGGTACTCATAAAACACGGACGCATTGATTTGATGGTGAAATGAATAAATGAACGAAGCGAAGTTCACCAAACGATGGGTTCAAATGAATGTATTAGCTGTTTAAATTATTATACACTGAATCATGTACCAACACATTGTATCATTTAACCTCCCATATTACAATCTTGCTATCAGTCAACTTGTTTCGAATAAGATTTTAAATAATTAACGAATTCGCCTTTAACAATTAGTTTTAAATATTAAAAAATTGCTTGCGTATTCAAAATCTTTCAAAGATGATCTCCATACAATTTGGATTATACTATATAAAATGTATTTTTGCTAAATTTTATGAAAGAAATGTTTTTTGAACAAATTTTTTTCTATCAATTTTCAGTAGTTTTAAATGATCATAAAACATTTTCGCTTTTATTCGATAGCTAACGAACGAGTATGTTGTCGTTGTGGTACACGATTTCTTGTTGATGAATATGGATACTCTTTAACTCAGGGCGAATGCATTTACCATTGGGGTAAAGCTGTGAAACAACGAAGTAAGTAGCTAAGGTTATATATATATCAGTTTCTAATTGTTTAGTTTGGAGTTCGGTTTCATGTTATAATCTGGTATTACTTATCCATTGTTATTAAATTTCCGAGTATTGGGGGAATCACTTCAACTCTATTTTCTTTGGATTAAACTAATAAGTAGTGTTTATTTGTCACTAATTCAATAAATATATCCTAATTCTGTGTGTAGTAGTTACGTATTTTTGAATTATGTTGTCATTGGGACCATCGAGTAAGTAACGTGGTTGTTAGGAAACGGGTACTAGGTAAGGATGGCAAATCCATTGATCAAGTAGTGAAATTTCATCAATTGAGATGGCTGGGACACGTGTTACGTACGCCCAACCACCGACTACCTCGACGTGCGATGTCCAGTGGTATAGGAGTAGGTTGGAAGAAAACTAGGGGCGGCCAGACCAAAACATGGCACAAGTACATAAAGTCACTGACGAATGGACTGAGTCATGTTGGTAGGTGTAGACTACCTGGTTGGGGACCGCAAGATGATCGCAACCGATGGTTAGAGACCCTGAATGACATGGCTCAAAATTGTCTGCAATGGCGCGGGCGCATCTACTCTTTGTGTTCTCCCAAATTCTAATCTTCTGATTCCTCCTTGTCTTTTTTTCTCTTCCCAAATTTATTTCACTGGATTATACTCTTTAAATAACATCTCCAAACCATAATCTTTCCGATTACTGCTTATACTCTTACTACCTCTTCCACTACGGGATTCGGATCGGCAACTGCATCTTTGTGCTAATGTGGTATGGCAACTGGAACTGATGTACGTACGTACGAAGTTCTACGTTGTTACTGACTGACTGACTACCATTGGTAGTATAACTCAACCGTATTGTCAAATTCTCTACTTGTTTGCTGAAGTTTGTGTATTATATCGAACTGCACTTTGAAGCAATTAGAAATTACGATTCATAACCAATTATTATCTTAATAGTTTACTTCGGTAACTAAACTATAAGCATGATTTCTGTTTGTTATATTATATATTTAAATTAGTCATTGGGAAATTGAAATATCAAGATCCATAATTACATTGTGTGATCTGTTTTGAGATAACTCTTCAAATTAACAAGTGATAAATGTATATGACTTATAAAATAGTCTGGAAGTTTTGGCAATTTCCTCTTTCAATTAAAATTCTTCATTCTACTTGTATTACTGTACATCCAATTTTAAGTTTGAGAAATAGATAGAATCAAGAATCCTTTGATTAGTTCACTGTTCTTTTTATATCGTGTTTCATATTTCATAATTTAACCATATTATCAGTCACTAAATATTTATATTGGATGCAAAAATGCTAATTGAACATTTCACAATATGATTATCAAAAATATATGTACTCATGTTTGTCATTTAACAAGAATACCTACTAATGTTGCAATATTAGTAATTCCTGGAAATGTGGTCTCATATCTGTTCAGTTTTGGAATTAATGATGTCAGTGCGTTGTTCTCTCTCCTTTCCCACCTAATCATTGAGGCCTCAACTGGCGGAAAAAATATGAGTATCTTCAAAGTTGTAAATGAGTTTTTTGGTAAATTCTCATAAGCCACGCCTAGATAGATCTGTTACTTATTGTTTTCATTTGACTGTGGTGTACTATATACGTATAGCATCATTTTACTATTTAGCCAAATTAGACTCATAGTTTAGTTCTCTTAGTTAAAAAATGTTATATTTAGTCTCTTTATATCCTTATTCTTTGCTTTCTGCGGAAACATATAGATTAATTACCATCGAAATGTTTAGTTACATATGTATATTCTGTAATTAAGTGTATTTCTTTTCATAGCTTGGTTTCATTTTCTTTCGTCTATCTGTAATAATTTGATACGTATCGTGTGATTGACTACCTAATGATTATTTGATTAATAGCGTCGCATAAAATAATTTAAACAATAACTCAAGATGCAAACTGATTTTTGTGAAACTGTTAAAGTTATGCATTTTTTTATGATTATTATCCTTAATATAAATATTTGACATCTATGAACAAGTTTTGAGCGTAAGTGTCAATTTAACAACTACAGATTCTAGTTTCTTTTCCAATAATGAAAGAGGTTCGAAAAAAGTGCATGAGGCCCCCTAACACTTTTTAACACAGTAAAATATCGAAACCAGTTACGGAAATTAAAACCTTACCTCATACAAGACATACAAATCTCTTTCAAATACTACATTTTTAACAAACCAAACCCCTCCACCTAAACTAACACCTATAGTTCGGTTGTAGTTGGTAAGCTTGTCATTTCTAAGGACTAAGTTATCATACTGATATTGCTACTGAAAAGCGTTGTTCGAGGCAGATTTTCTGTAGATATGTATGAAGTTAAGAGAAAAAGCAGGGGATACCCAAGATATGTTTTGTCGAGTTACATTGTGTTACTAATCCTGCCTTCTTTAGCTGCCTGTGTATTGAAAACGATCAAAGTCGATCACTCTTTTTAAAACTTGATTGTTAGCAGATTTATAGCGAACAAGATAACACTTCTTAGGAAGCTAGATACTGAACAAAGTACTTGTAAATGGTGTATGTATTTATACTAAGATAGATTGATCTCGACATAAATACGTGGTTGATAATCTTGTCTAGGTAAATAATAATCCGCAACTTGAATCTAACTTACTATCTAAGCTTGAATCGTTACGTTAATCAATATCAGTAAAAGATTTCACTTTTTCCGTAGAAATTCTAAGAATCCCAGATCTGTGAAACAATGTTGTTATCCGCGAACATTTGTTTTTCAAACTTGTATAATCAAGATACAAATATAACACTTCTATATGTGGTTATTTTGATGGGTATATGACTACTAACATTTTCTGTTTGTCAAATTCGTCTAAAACTAATGAGATTGTCTTCATGTCTCTACTATATGGTTTTGTTAAAATAAATGAATCTTCAGGGGTTTGTTTAAAGTCAATTGGTTAAGAATGTGAATCGGTATTTCCCCCTATATAGTGCAATTATGCTTGCGATTTAATCGGTTGGTTGGAACTAGTACATACTAATAACCCATTCGACTTAACACTCATTATCTTTATTTTAATATTTATCTATTTGATTCGACTTTCTTTCTAAAAATCCCTAATTCCAAGATTATCTACTGATTTTTATTTTTAAAATCCCCATTGCATGAATAATATATTTCAAACATATGTAGTTTCTATACAGGCAGACCAGACCACATCACAGTTGTACTAGATCAAGCGGAAAGTGACTGTCAATGTGAGACACTGTAACTAATAGATTACGAATACATTAAGAATAGTGAATCGTATAATAGAAACCAATAGGTCAAATGAGAGTTTATGATAAAAGAAATATTTTTTTTATGAAATATCAATTTCGGCCAAGCAATTAGCAACATCTAGTCGTTTTTAGTTATTTCAACACATCAATTACAGTTAATTGAAAAATATCTTACATTTATTCAGCTGTTTAATGATTACCAGCACAATTTGTGCATTTATTTTTTGACTACTTCCGATAGTTTTTCTTCGATTAACTGTATACTGTAGTAGTTACCTTTAATTGAACCTGGGAACTTGATCTTTCCTGTTAATTGTAGTAGTTTTAACCTTAGCCGCATACCTTCATAAAAATGATTTGGTAATATGCTCTCATATATTTCTATACAGTTGATTTTTATAATAGGTTAATTTTATGATTTAATCACTCTCACATTGTTCACCAATTCAATTTTATATGACCCTACATCCATTGGTGTTAGGTCAATAGATTGGATAATGCTGTGACTTCAGATTTCCTCTTTCTACAGAGTTTTGTTCATTCATTCATTTATTCATTTTTTCCTATTTCTAATTGCCCCTATGAGTTTAATACATAATAATATGGATATTTTTTGTTGCTTTTAATTGAATGTTATTGTATTTCCTCACTATGATATTATATATTTTCAATTATTAAATACATAATTTTATTAGTAATAAACAAACTTAATATTTTAAAATGACAATGATAATGTTATTCAAAGTTGAAACATTAGGTAGTATTATCATAGGACTAAACTAATAAATATAACGTTTCAATGTTGTTTATAAATAAACGGAATACACCCATTATGACATTAAATAAGAAAGAAAGATTAGTTCAGCGAAGAGTTCTCTTTTCGGCGAATTCATTTTCAAAGCTGTACAATCGCAAATATATATACTTATTTTTACAGGGTGATAATAATACTGATAATAAACTTCTGTTATACATGGTGACAGTGAGGTTAAATAAACAAAGGTATTAAAAAATTTTTTTAAGACAAGGAAAGTTTGATAGTTAATGGCTTAAGTATTCATCGGGTAAGGATGGCTCAGCATGATAAAATAACACAAAATGTTGAAACGGAGATGAAATGTAATCGGAATGATCGTGGAAATAAAAACAAACCGGTTGGGGGTAGAAGATTTGAAGGGAAGATGGAAGGTGAAGCAGATGGTTGTAAAGGAACAAGAGTATGAAGAAAGAGAAAAAAATTTTAATACATTAAGACCATGGTAAAAGAAGCGATTGTACCAGTCTCTTTTGTACACATAATTCTGGTTTTTCAAAATGTATGGCTATTGCCTCGGCAATGCAAAGAAGATGCAGTCTAATTGTCTTAGGAAGGCTTCTACTTACCTTGTTGTTTGCAGATGATGTAAAAATCTGGAGAACAATAAAAAGTGCGGCTGATCATGTGGATCTTCAAGCTGACTTAGACGATTTAGTTGGATGGGCTCGAGAGTGGGGCTTAGAAATCAATGCTAGGAAGAGTGCACTAATGCACGTCGGTCACGGTAATAGTTACCGTTACACTATTGAGGGTAAACCTCTTCCATGCGTTCAAGAGCATAAGGACTTAGGAGTAATATTAAGTCAGGACTTAAAAACAACTGCGCATTGCAAAGCAGCCGCTGTCAAAGGTTTTCGTGCGTTATGGTCACTTCGCCGAGCGTTCAAATCTTTTGACGAGGAAACGTTTCGAATTTTATATCCCATATATGTTAGACCACATTTAGAGTACTGTATCCAAGCAGCTAGCCCGTGTCTAGTAAAGGATACTAACTCCCTTGAGCGTGTCCAGCGTGTGGGAACGAAATTAGTGAAGGGTCTTTCTAGACTTCCTTACGATGAGCGCTTAAAGCGCCTAAATCTTTTCCCCTTGTCGTATCGTAGGACACGAGGTGACCTTATACTGGCATTTCGTATCTTTAATTATGATTTGGGTGTTAATATGTCTTATCTGTTTGCTCCCTCCAGCACTAATAATCTCCGAGGTCATAGCAAGAAGGTTCATAAACCACGATCTAATAAACTTAAAGTGGGATCCCGTTTTTCTCATCGAGCAGTCAATCATTGGAACGCCTTACCCGAACAAGTGGTATCAGCCCCATCAGTGAATACTTTCAAGGAAAAGCTGGACCTTCACTGGAAAGCAATGTGTCAGGATTAACACAGGTTCATCAACCTACTATCCTTATTACTGAAGACTGAAGACTTGTAGATGACTTTGAACGCAGAGTCTGTCTTGATTGAGTGACCTGTGTTCACAAGGTGTTCGATTATAGAACTTCTTATTGAACCGTTGCCTCCTCTTTTTAACCACGCCGGACAATGTTCTTGAATTCTTTTGGATAAAATACGCATCGAACGACCTATATATTATTCTCCAGCCGATCACTGTTCACCAATAATTTGAAAGATAAATTATCGCATCTGACCAACTCAATGTGCATTTACCAATTTACCTGCTCTTGTGGAACTAGGTATTAGGTAGTATTACCATAGGACTAAACTAATAAATATAACGTTCCAATGTTGTTTGTTAATGTAGATCTTTTAGAAAACCATTTGAAAATCTATTCATCTTAAAAGTGATTTTCATAATTTTGTTTTTCATTCAATAATTATTATTTATTTATTTTTCTAAATATTTACAGTATCTTTTAGTAAGTTCTATGTATTTAACTAATATATGCATATTTTACTTTAGATCAAAATACTATCACGACTTCATGTCATCTTTTCAAAATTTGTGATATTAAATATACATTTTATTAAGATCTAATATATGGATCTAATATATCTCACTTCACTTCTAATAAGATGGCGGTTTATTGGCTAAAATTATTGATGTTCAACCACTGAATTTCAAGTTTTAATCCTTTCATGCCTACTTATAGTCTAGACAGCCAAATGGAGTATGATATTTGTTATCATAGATAATTATGACTCAAAGTCCCAGTGCACAAGCTTTTACTAGGTAAATGGAATCACTTTACCTTACTTCACTTCTCATACATGTTCATATTTTGTGTGTATATGACTTCACTGTTTTTGTTCTCCTTACAGGTTTTGGTCAAGGATTTGATTTACGATATTTATGTTGTAATGGTGATATTGGTCAACCAGGCTGTCAAATCTGTCCTAAAGGTCATGTTCACGATGCTAATAAATGGTTAGATAATGAAGGTTTTGTTATTACATTGCCACCACTTCCAAAATCACAAGAATATGATGAAGATAATGACAATAATTCGAGTTGTAATGTGTACGCTCTTGATTGTGAAATGGTTTATACAACTGGTGGTTGCGAACTAGCTAGAATTACTATTATCAATCCAAAACTTCAAGTTATTCTCGATGAATTTGTTTGTCCAGACAATCCAATTATTGATTGTAATTCACGTTTTTCTGGTTTAAAATTAGAAGATATAGAACAGGCAAAATATCATATTACTGATATTCAAGCAAAATTATTGCATTTATTCGATTCGGATACAATATTAATTGGTCATAGTTTAGAAAGTGATTTAACTGCCCTTAAATTGATACATAAGAAAATTGTCGATACTTCTATTGTATTTCCGCATCGTTTAGGTTTACCAAAGAAACGAGCTTTAAGGAATTTAGTTAGTGAAATACTTCAACAAATTATACAACAAGATGGTAAGTAGGTTTATTGGTTTATGTACTTGTTAAAAATGCAACGGATAACATAAATCTTACTAATTTTGGCTCGTTCTTAATCTGCTTTACGTTAATGTGTTTATTATAACGATGAGTCTTTTTTCATTTTCTTTAAAATAAACACTAGATACCGTCCTTTGGTATGAATACACTTCACTATCATTAAACTACTGAGGTTTACTGTGACCATTGACACATTTGGGCCGACAACAATTAATTATTTTTATGCAACACCCGTTATAAATTTTTATTCCGATTGATCTTTGATGCAGCTTTCCTCTAGTTCGAACTTACAAAGCAAATATAACTTTTGTTATACACTTATTCATTATGACTCAAAACCCATGATATTATACATCATACACCTGGACACAGCAATTATGTGAGTGACCATGCCATAAGTGAAGGAAAATTAAGTTATGGGTTTGTAAACAATGAATACTAACTTAGGGAAGTGTGATGTTTGTGTATAATAATCATTGCTGTATATATTATTGATCTCTGAATTAAATTTACAATATGGTACCATACACTGCTATCACCGTACTCTATCTTACTTAAGTGCTGGTCCATTTATGACCACTAAAGTGTGTATTGAACAGACCTGTGAATTACCAGTTCATACATTTTATTTATTGCTACCATTTGTATTTACCGTAGGAAAGTAAGACATTTAACAATAGTTTATGCATCAAGCGAAGTCATATAATATGGGGAATATAAAAATACGATAACTGCAAGAAAATTTAATAACTATAAATTAAAATAATAAAAGTACTCCCCGTAGGATCAAATTATATTTGAAATGGATTGGAATATCCGATTGTTGATATTTTGAATGAAATTCGGTCAGTCTCGGTTGGCATCCATCTGTTCTATATCACCCTATGTCATAATGACTGTTGAGGCCAATCCGCACAGGATGCCTATACGCCAAGACTGAACAAAATTTCAGTCAAAATACCAACAATAGGATAACCTAGGCCATTTCAGATTAAATTAAATTTCAAACCGGTCACACAAGTTGATGGTAGTCACTAGCTAATTGGGTAGAGCGATGCCGCTTGAAACAAACGGTCGAATCCTGTGATAAACATCAACCTTAGGATACAGGTACCTCCAGCTGGCAAGTCCCAGATACGGCGAAACGCACGTCATGAATTCCCGAAGAATAACCCTTCCTAAATCCATTCGGATATAATAATAGCGATAAAGTTTCGAATGAAATCATTATTCAAGTATATGGTGTATTGTATTTACAAAGTGAGGTATCTTGATTTCTATTTATTTGACAATTGTAGGTACATATTTTATGGTATTAATGTAAATAATTTATTTTCGTTACTTTTAATGAAGAGAATGGTCACAACAGTATGGAGGATGCTGTTGCCTGCATGCAACTTGTTCAACACAAAGTCAAAGAAGATTTACGTTGTGGAAAGTGGAATTTTCCTTAATAAAATTTATCTGTGATTATACAATCAAATATAAACATTTTTTGTTTAATCCAATTTTCTTATTACCTTTCAAAAGACTTATGCACTGAACTTTTCTATAAAAAAAGACTTACTAATTACATTTGTTATTGTAAATATTCACTATAAGCCTGTAGTTAGGTAAATATAAATACTGATTTCATACTTGAAATTGGAATTATCCTTCCCATTCCTCATTGTTCTTCTCTTTTTATTTTGTACTCTTCAGGTCAATTTACACTGTGATCGCTAATAATTAGGTGAATACTCTTTGATTAGTTTATTTTGTTACATCGTTTAACAAAATTTATTAGTTCTAACCAAAAAAGTGAGTTATCACGTCTTTGATAGTGAAATGTAACCTTAGACAATACTTTATTGAAACTATAATTAGTTTATTTGATGCTATAACAGCTCGATTGATCGGTAAGATTATCGGAATGTATAGGATTACTGAATGGATGTTTTTCACAGGAGAAGGGTGTTATAAAAACTGTTTATATTCAAAATATCTAATATAGTATGAATTAATTGTTATTTAAATAAATAATCTAGGATGAATATTTTAAAACAATCAGCGCTTGTTCACTTTTTTCTGTCTTTAAAGATCCATTTTGATATATACAATTCAAGACAGATACTACTCCGATTATTAGTTTGTCAAGGCTAGGCTGTTGTACATTTGAAGTCAAACATCTTTAATTTATGGAACTAAATCTACGAGATCCTAGTGTTACGTAAGATTCGACTTTCATCACTAGGCATTACGTTTGAATGTTGTCTGAAGAAAGCATGTATATACTTGATTATAACAGTTGTTTAGTGTACTATTTTCAGTCGAAGATGATATTATTTGAAAAATTGGCCCAAGTACTTAAATTTCCTGTTTTTGTTAACATAAACTGACATTTATGTAAGTAGTATATGGCAAAAGTCATTTTATGTAATGATATGAATAATAATATTCACGGCGGTTGAAAGACAGGAGCAACAAAACAAGAACAGGATCAATCTACAAAATCATTATGCCACCCCAAGTCATTCTTACCTTACCGGGTTCATCGAGACCAGTGGCTGGAAACTTTGAGTGACGTGGTTAAAATTGGTTACAGAAGCTTTCACTCTATCTTACGTTAGGTTTTGTCTCTGTCATTTCATTTTTTATTTTCTTGTTTTATCCATTCTTTTCGGACCATACTTCTACTACCATTGATACTACTATAACTTTGGAAACTTAACGACTCATCTCGGTATGTTAATGTGATTTGGCAACTTAAGTCGATGCTTGTTTATTGTGTTGGTTAGGACTGATTGACCGGGTAAATTCAATTTCGTCCAAGTAAATTTCGAACTGCTATTTCTGACTCCGTAGAAGGATTCTAATAGTTTAGGATGAAATAAACATTCATAAGAAGTTAACAGACCATACATAGTCCGTATCAATGCATGTGAAGTTATATTTGATCGTACCGGTAATCAGCAAATGTGAAAAGGCTGATAAAACACAGAGGAGAGACAATATGAGGGCACTGAATATTGATAAGTGAGAGGATTATTATGATTATAGGAACGGATTTAGACTGAAGGCATATGAATTAACAGTAAATGCGATTTTCTCGGTACCTTACCCCCTACTGAGCTGTGGAATATGAAAAAAAAACAACACCTGACCTGTGGATTATTATTCACCAAAAGTACCACTATATACATTTTAAATGTATAATTCTAACAACCAGCGGAACAAGAAGCCATCCGAAAAAGGCAGGAAATACGCAAATATACAATCACCGCGACAGACTAATATAGTGTCCATTAATAAGACTAAACATGATACAAACAGGCCGAAAGTAGTTTACATGACTTAAAAATCGGCAAGAGTTCAGCGAAATTCCCAAAGGTATACTGAACGAGGCTATTACAGACTGCAGAAAGTCCACATGAACAGAGCAGTATTCTAGTCGCCATATTTCTTAACCTAGTGCCATACAAACAAGGCTTGATGGATGATCTGTCCTATATAATCAAATCCCGATCGTTGTTGCTACGTTGACGTGGTGGTCGGGCTTGTCTGTCGTTGTGAGACAAACCGAGCTATACTGGCTGGAACAACCGTTCCTCAAGGTCCTACCATGCCAAACAGGTCGACTGAAGAGCGGTAAACTAAAAGCAACAAACATAAGGTCCGAAGGCGAATTCGTACTGCTGACTGTACACAGGTGTGACAGCAGTAAGGTGTTTCCTTCAGACAACCAGCATGACAGTTATGCTGCCTTCCCACAAGGAGAGGTGGGGGGTGGGAAAGGTCGACCCTAAAAATGCACACCTCGCCTTATCCCACGGATATCCGTCTCCGGCGGTAAGGTCTCAACAAGTATAGAGCTGACAAAAACTACTCATAAAAAGGTCGTGTGTGACTGACCTCAAGCAGTTATCCCTTCGGCACCGCGGTCACGCTCTCAGGTCAATAAGATCACCTCTAATCCTATTTTGTTTTCAGGCGCCTCCAGAAGGACCCCTCCACGGTGTGGGCGACTGGGAATTGAAAACCACCCCCAAATGCAATGGTACGGCCGAGAGTGGGGTAGTACGCTCTCCCTCTCGAAATGCTCCCACATGGTTACGTGTATATAGCCTCTGCTAAGGAAGTCCTACTCACTGCCTTCTCGTGGCGGGGGTGTTTACGAAATTGAGAGAAAAAATTGCGAATGTCCGGTGCTTTAGCCGGGTTGGTGGACATGGAGATTCCACCTACGGGAGTTGAAAAACCCTGATTCCAAACCAATGGTGCACATGGGTTCCAGTATCATGAAGGAACAAATGGCGTATGAACCCATTGTTGGTCACCAGCTGCCATGGGACTGCATCTCCTTACGATGCTCCACTGCCTTGTGGATCAGACCTTCAGGTCGAAGGCTCCGGGTGTGCCTCCCCCCAAGAAAACCACCTGCTTCGATTTGGGCACCAGGGCAGTATCACAGCCCTCACACATATCAAATGGGATTTGTGTGGCGCATATGTATTTGGTGCCTCCTTGTACCGATATCTATGTCTCCGAAACACGCATACAGAACCCTTGAGTGGTCAGTCACTTGACCTCACCTCAGCAAAACGGAGAGCCGACGAGATATACCCTTCGTGTATCTGGCGACCTGATGGCTAGTTTCTCGTGGATTGGCAGGTGTAGGCATAGCACTAAGCATGAGGGTGGAACAAGCACTATTAGAGTGGATCCCTGCGATGTTCGGTTAAACGGCTCAGTAAGAACTCGGAAAGATAGGGACACACGTCGTTGCCTTTTTGTCGTTTCTGCCTACGCTCCCACTGACTACAGCTCGAATGAAGTGAAAGATGAATTTTACAGAAAGCTATCTGGAATTCTTCAGAAAGTTAAACGTTCAGACATAGTACTCGCAGCAGGTGACTTTAATTGCAAGGTAGGAATAAACCAGTTGTGACATCTACTAGCGATTTAAACCACAGGATTACAAAGAACCGATGGATTTCCTCAAGGTCTATTGCACTGATGGATTCTCGTAAAACTCATCCCATCAGGCTCTGAACACGATGAAGAGCGAAAACAAATCAGATCTGGGTTAAGCAAAGTCTAAGGAACGACCGTAAGCAGTGGTAGGCAACGAAAGCAAAAGAGATGGAAAAGGCGGCGGCTATAGGGAACACAAGACAGCTCTACAGACTTATAAAAGAAACTGGAACTAAAAAGTCAAGTGTAAAAGAGACTATCTCGGAAAAAGACGACACTCTCATCAGACGTTTAGAACGATGGGCGAAACATTCTAGAGAACAGTTAAGCTGGCCTTCAGCTACTCTACAACTACCCACCATTCCCAGACAGCCTGAATGAAACATTGAAGTAGGTCACGCAACTCGAGCTGAAGCTCAAAAGGCTATAGTTAATCTGAAACGAGGAAGGGCAGCTAGTCCAGATGGATTGGCTCCAGAGGTCTTTAAGTATGATGGTCCAATTTTAGCGATTAGGTTGACTAATATTTTAACTAAGGTCTGGGAGTTGGACGTAATCTCATCTGACTGGTCACAATCACTTATCGTCCCAATATATAAGAGAGGGTTAAAATCATCCTGTGACAACCATAGAGGGATTAGTTTAACTAATATAGTATCTAAAATACTAGCCTCGGTAATTATCAGACTCTTAACTAAGACTCGTGAACTGCAAACACGAGAGAACCAAGCTGGCGTCAGACCTGGTAGTGACTGCATCGACCACATATTCACCATTCGTCAGGCTCTAGAACACAGGCATACTTATCGGCATCCGACAATGGTGGTCTTTCTTGACTTAAAAGCAGCATTTGACTCTGTAGACCGCGAGATTCTGTGGCAGTGTCTGTCATTTAAAGGTGTACCTCAGAAGTAAATAAACCTTGTGAAGGCTCTTTACTCGACCACTACTAGTCGAATGAGAGCTTATGGCGAACTGTCGTCTGCTTTTGCAACATCAAGTGGTGTCCGTCAAGGCTGTCCACTATCCTTATTTTTGTTTAGTTCCATCATAGAAATACCGATGGAAATAACGCTCTCATCGACTCAATTTTCGGTCATTGATCTCATACCATGAGGTTCACTTATCGGCTTAGAATACGCAGATGATATAGTCCTGTTTGGTGAAGACGCTGATAAAATGCAGTTTTCTGGTAGCAGCAAGCAACAATGCCAGAATGTTTGGAATGCGCTTCTCATCCTCTAAATACAAGTTGTTGCTTCAGGACTGGTCTGCGTCAACACCTGAATTGTGGTAAGTCAGTTGATGAGATTGTGAATCTTTACCTACTGAGATGGTCAGGCCACATTTTACGTATGTCTGAACACCGATTGCTACGACACGCAATGCTGACTGGTGTTGGAGATGGTTGAAAGAAAGTTAAGGGCGGTCATACCAAAACGTGGCATCAGTGCTTGAAGTCACTAACTTCTAGTCTGAGCCATGTTGGGAGATGCAGATTACTTGGTTGGAGTCCGCGCGACTATCGTAACCAATGGTTGGAGACTCGGAATGATATGGCTCAGAATCGATCACAATGGCGTAGGTGTATACACTCTCTGTCTTCCCTTAAACTAAGAGATTAAAATCACTTCATATCTTTCTTTGTACTAACTAATTCTTTCTTCCTGTACTATATCCTTATATTCAATCTTTCTTTTACATATTACCACCTTTGACCTAACCACTCCTATGAATCCGGTGTTCATCTTGCTGTGCTAATGCGGTATGGCAACTTGGACCGATGCATATATGTGCCTGGTCCTACGTTGTAGCTGACTGACTGACATAATCAAATGCGGATGAAACAACAAAAGAGCCACTTCAAGTAAAAAATAATGCGGCTGAGTAGATATCTGTTAAGACTTATGGGCCTTAAAATTTGAGTTCTAGTCCCATCTAGTACATTTATCTTACATTGAAGAGGCCAGATAATGTGATCCGACTTAGCTACTATACAACTCCGCTTACAACTGAACAACCCAGCTATGAAGGAGACGACTAAAACTACAGGATTTTGTGTTGCCCGAATCTGAATAATAATACGACATACGTTTATTTATGGGTGGCCGAACTATTTAAGATAACGACTAGGCGAATAATCTACTTACAATAAATCCCTTACTCTTGAGACATGTGAATTCTCTAGTTAAGCTAAACATAACACCCAAACACTATATAGGTGACTAGGTTATATCAGACTGTGTTGATCAGTTTATGTGCGTATAGAGACACATCGAGTGGAGAAATCGTAATATCCTATACGTGATGACTGAATATGTACCTAAACGGTAGGAAAACTAATGAATAAATTGTAAATTTGATGGGATCCTTGTCTATTGCAAACTTGTTTAATAAGTATATTTGACGACAATGTATAACATGAGAGAAAGGATAGCATCAAACTATCATTATGAATCATGGGATTTTCTTAGACTTTTTTAACGTGTTGAATCTAACCAAAACGTACCCGGCAGGCAAACTATTAATATTGTATAAAACATGTTTAGTCACTTAATCAAATGTCGATAAACACTCATATTACCGCCAACTGTGTTTATAAGTACTTGCCAAAACAGCTATATTGATCGAACAGAAAAGGGGCCGTATCTTACATTTTTTAATACGTTTCAAAAAGTCTTCGAACAAGAGGGAACTACTTTAAACAGCACAATTACCAAACATCTGTTGGATAAAGGACATAAACTCGACACTTTGCAATCCTTCAAAATGATTCGTAAACAGTCAAGCTCTAGTCTATTAAAACCGTTGTTAACGGGCGTCAGAAACCTGATTTAAGCGTTCGAAAGATTTAAACCTTTCTTAGCTTTGGTAACATGAAAATTATGTTCAATCTTCCTTCAACAAATTACGTACATTGTCTTTTCATTCCGTTTGTCTTCCAAGCTAGTGATCTTATCTTTATAGACTCAGTCAGTCAGTAACAACGTAGAACTTCGTACGTACGTACATCAGTTCGAGTTGCCACACCACATTAGCACAGAGATGCAGTGGTCGATTCAAATCCCGTAGTGGTAGAGGTAGCAAGAGTATAAGCAGTAATCGGGAAGATTAGGGTTTGGAGATGTTATTTAAAGAGTATAATCCAGTGAAAGAAATTTGGAAAGAGGGAAAAAGGGACATGAAGAATTCAGAAGATTAGAGTTTGGGAGAACACAGAGAGTGGATGCACCTGCGCCATTGCAAACGATTTTGAGCCATGTCATTCAGGGTCTCTAACCATCGATCTTTATAGACTGAGCTTTACTCACTTTATTCTTACGTATTATCAGCGTTTACTCGTTACGTTTCTAGCTCTTTGGACTTTTGTTAATATCTGTCGTAGAATTTTCTTTCCCATAATATGTATATTCACAGTTGTTATAATTTCTCTTATTAGGACGCAGCTATTCTTATTGCTTAGTATTCTTGGACACCAAATCACTCGACAAGTCCCCGAATCAGAATACGGTTGATCAGGAACGAAATTATATTCCAAATAACAAGGGTAGATGGAAGTAGGACTTACAATAAGAAAAAACGTTAGAATATTTATGGTTTTTCTAGAGTCTTCTCTAAGTATCCACTAGCACTGATTGGTCAAGAAATAACTAATCAGCGTGCCCCAACATAATCTTGCACGGAATGTGCTTTAATTCAATTTATATTCCGCTAACAACAGTATTCTATTCAGTCTATTGAATTCATTTACACCCTTGCTATACTATACTGTCGTGTCTTCAAAGTAACTTCCAACTAAACTCTTCCATGTATGCAATTATAATTTTTAAATATCACAGGTTGTAAGCAACTGACGACTACCAAACAAAATAAAATGAATTCATGCTATTCTGCTGAAATCTTTGTCCATGTTACCTTACAAGTACTATCGTTGACAGCAACGAATAGGTTAAATAACACAGAACAACAGAATTAGTCTGATGACACATAAAACAAACATGTGAAGACGTCTAGACACACTACGGTATCATGAATACAGTCTACACATAGTACACTAAATCTTCACACACTATGCACTAATAACAAACTCAGAGAAAATCTGCCATCGTACCATGGAACGATAGCAAAATATGTTGGTATTCAAGTTTCTGGGACGTATTGTTTGGATGTCGTCTTGTAGAGCAGAACTAAACCGTCAACAAATCTTTTTGAGAGATGATATATCAGAGAAGCAATGAAAGATCTCACAAACGAATTTTCATCATATGATTATGCTTTATTTTACACTGTATAATTGTCATATTACTTTGAAGATGCATCTATTGATATCTCAAATTACAGGCAACTTTTAAAAAAAGAATTGAAACAATTATTCTGAAATAGTTTGATGAAACAATGTCGTTTGTCTAACTACAGAAATATCTATTGTAAAATAGGAATGTGTCACCAGTGTTAGACAAGAGAATTTTGTTGTATTCTGAATCTGGTATATATATAGCAAAAATGGAGAGATATGAGTGGTTCAAGTGAAATATAGATGATCATGAAGGATGCATTTATCACCGAAAAATTGACATACTTCTGTTATATGTGACTGGTTGTTTTCTAAGAGGCGCAAACTGCACCGGAGTCTATACAAACAATCGCATTATCTAATTGCTGAAGTTCAGCTTCTGAAGACTTATTCACTTCAGCTCCGTCACGAATGAGCATTCGCTGCAACCGGAGTAATTCACGCCAACCAGGCAAAAAACCAGCACTTTCTTCAGTTGGTGGACCTATTGGCTCTCGTACGTGAGACACATGAATGCTATTGTTGCTAAGGCAATCCAGACGACGTAGAAGTGGTTTGCGAATGGGTTCAACTTTGTCATCAGCAACACCTTTGGAATTGGTGGTATTAGGGACACTAGAAACAAAAATCAGAATGTTGGCATATGCTCAAAAGAACCATAAATGAAAAATGACGAATTCATGTATCCATGAATTTATACTGTGACTACATATACGCATATACAATCACGTGAACATTAGATAGATTACCGAACTTTGGCTCAAGTTTGTGATTCATACATCCTGTTCGCAAACAATAAAAATAACCGATTGCTTGATGAGATATCGACTACTTAGTTATTATTTGTGCCTATGACCAAACCCTTATGAAGTGATATTAATTTTTTTTATATTTTAGAGATTAAACCAGTGTGAAAATGGTTGTTATCGCGGATCGGCATCAGGTGGGAGAACCTCTGGAAACTTTGGAGCACTGGATAATCATTTTATTTTAGTTTGAGGCAGCGCTTTAACAATGTTTACCAAGAACCGTACCCACGACTTCTAGGTCCCACAGAGAGCGCTTTATCTATAAATCACTGACATGGGATCGAGTGGTCAAGTCAAATGTAGAGCTCCTATCATTCAATATCATAACCGAAAAAACTATCACGCTAAATTTACTAGTGAAAGCTCTGTGTAAACAACCATTATAACCAAAACCAATAGTCTTCATGCACAGGAACTCACTGTGAGTAGAATAAATAGATTAGTTTATGGCATGAATGGCTATTGAAACTCGTATCATTTCTGTCAAGAAATTAATTTCTAATACGAAATACTCCCATTGATAAAATGACATCTCACTAACAATACTTATCATGTAATGAATACCCAATAATGTTTACATGATTTTATGGTGTCTAATCGCTTTGAAAATCAAAGCGGTAAACTGTTAGTGAATCACTGATATATATTTTTTGTGGTCACATTTGTTACTTTGCTTTTCATGAATATAATTTAGAAAACAGCAAGATCGTCAATAATGAGGACAATTTGTATTGCGTACGGTGTTACAATCTCTCGTACTATGACCCAGTTAGTCTTATTGCTTAGTATTCTTCATACACTTTACTTCACTAGGTAAGTTCCTAGATCAGAAAACGGTTGAACAGGAACATAATTATATTTCAAATAAAAAAGGTTGAATGGAAGTAGGAATTACAATGAGAAAAATCTCAGTATATTTATAATCTTCACACAAGATTCTAGAGTCTTTCTCAAGTATCCCCTGGTGCTGATTGGCTAAGAAATGGCCAGTCAGCGTTCCCTAACACGATTCTGCACGGAACATGCTTTAATGCAATCTATAATATCCCACTAGCAATACATCAATAACAAATAATTCATATATCACTAATGCCTCATTTGACCATAATTAGTGTATTTTCCGGCAACCTCTTTTACTTGTAGACTCAGGTTATGTGTCAGGTTAAGAAAATCTGACAACTGATATCTAAATATAATAGAATTTTCGCGGGGGATGTGTTTCAAAAAGATTATTTACGCAGAAATTTGACTACTTTGAAGTACTTTTTTCAAGCTCTGAGAAGAAATGCATCTTTTTAAGTTTATGTAGTAGCTAACGGTGAAGCTAATCGAAGCAAATACGGATAAGTGCGTATAATATCATTTGAATGCTTAGTTTTTTTTAACAATCTTGATTTGAGCAGGCGGTCGAAGATCAACAAGCTTCGCACAAGTGACCTCAAAGAAATGAACCAGTAACTCGTCACGGAGTTGCCTGAATAAGTTGATAAGCAGTACTTACTATAAAACATGATTTGCGATAAACGAAAAGATATGGCAATTAGGGGAACTTACGTCTTATGTTCAGGTTGGTTTTTATTCAGCTTTTTATTGCCATGACCTTGTATATAGAAAAAATAATTACGATAATTTAATAGTAAGTGAAAGTATAATTATCGACAAAAACAGCTTCCGAAATAGAGCAGAACGGAACCATATTCATAAGCAGTGTAAGGACTTGTGAAATGTATCGAATCAAGTTACTACACCACACTGGGATTAAATTATCAAGATGTATATTGTGGCAGTAGAAATAGCAGTATCAGTGATAGTTGAGAAATTAGGCATAGATAGTATATTTTCAAAAGCATAAATTCAGACAATAAAAAAGAAGTATAAGATAATTCCAAACCTCAAAAGTCAAATGAAGACAAGGAGTTGATTATTTATTTGGACACATGAATATTGGTATAAGAGAGCGCCAATATATATGCGCCACACAAAACAATGAAAATTCGAAGAGAAGTACAAAAACAAAACTAAGGAGCGCAAAAGAAAAAGAGAACAATAACGAAGAGAATGGTGTAAGGTAGTGTGGTAGTAATCAGGGAACCCAAAGGTACAATCGGAAGAAATCTTTCAGGTAAGGGAGACACAACCACTTTTTATGAAGAAAGTAAAAGAAGGTTACAGCAGGATCGCCATTGGCTTCTATTCTGAGCCATATCTGATAACGTCTCTAGCCACTGTGTAGCACCATCTCTCAGACCCCAACCAGGGAGTCGTGAAGGACCAACACAAGCCAGTCCTTTGCAGCTTTCTTTCATGCCACGACACCATGTCATGCACTGACCACCTCTCCGCTTCTTCCAACCAGTCCCAGAGTCGGCAAATAATGCACGACGTGGAATTCTCTGGGAAGACATTCGGAGAACATGTCCAAGCCACCCAAGTCGGTGTTTCAAGATGGTAACACCAATTGCATTATCATCTCTGTGCCCGAACACACGATGCCGAGCCTCTGCATTACTGACATGGTGTTGCCACTGAATTTCAGCAATCCTTCGGAGACAGCGATGATCGAACACAGAGAGTCGTCTAACGTCCTCAACTCGGAGAGACCAGGTTTCACAAGCATAGAGCAAAACTGCTCTCACCGATGCGTTGTAGATCCGACCCTTTACAGCCAGACTGACATGACGAATGCGCCAAAGATGGCCCAGATTGGCATAAGCCGCTCTGGCTTTCACTACTCGTGCATTGATCTCATCACTCACACCCCCACCAGCACTTATGCAGCTACCCAGATACACGAACTTCTCGACTACGTCTATCTGCTCACCATCCAGGGTGAGTACAGGATTGGAATCCTGCCAGTCTTGTAGAAGTACTTTGCACTTCGAAGGTGCAAAGCACATACAATACCTACGGACACTGATTGCCAACTGATTAAGTGCGGATTGCATGCCTTGGGCATTATCGCACAGTAAGACAATATCATGCGAATACTCAAGGTCGAGAAGTCTTTCTCCAGGCAACAGATCCACACCTCTATTGCTTACATCCATCAGAGCTGTTTCCAGAATGTCGTCGATGGCCAAGTTGAAGAGGAGTGATGAGATTGGGCAACCCTGCCTAACCCCACTTTTCGAATGCAACAATGGAGAGAGGTGGTTGTATGCCCTCACTCTGCCTGAGGTGTTTTTATACAGGGCTTTTAGGATGTTAATAAACTTCTCAGGCACACCCTTCTTCAAAAGACAATCCCAGAGAACAGTTCTGTCCAACGAATCGAAGGCAGCCCTAATGTCAAGAAACACTACGATTGTTGGCCTTTGATAAGTATGACGGTGTTCTAACATTTGACGGAGGGTGAAGATATGATCAATACATCGTCGACCAGAACGAAACCCAGACTGCTCCTCGCGAGTCAATCTTTCTCGGGTTTTGAACAACCTACGAAGTATGACGGAAGCCAATAGTTTGGACGCAATCGGAAGTAGACTTATCCCCCGATAGTTGTTACAGTAAGGACGTGAACCCTTTTTAAAGATAGGGACAACTATCGACTCATTCCATGACGTTGGAACACTCTCTAGTTCCCAAACCTTTGTAAACAACACAGTCAGTTCATTAGTCAGAAAGTCACCATCATCTTTAAAAAGGGCCGGAGGTAAGTCATCTCGGCCTGGTGATTTGTAACGCTTCAAGAGTTGGAGTTCCTTGCGAATTTCCGCCTCAATTGGTGGACCAGTCGTTACCGGCCATGGAGGGCAGGACAGTCTGACCGATGTTGCCAGAGCAACAGGCCAGTTGAACTGCCCTTCGAAGAATTCTGCCCATCCTCCAAGATGTCGATTGATGTTAGTGATTGGCATCCCGTCATCCTCGCAGATTGTTTCGCTCACACCAGACTTCTTGCTGCCAGTGGCTCGGATGAGTTGGAAGAGCTTCCGGTAGTTACCAGATGCAGCTGCTGCTTCCAGCACATTAGCACGCTTCGACCACCAGGCTTCTCGGTCCTTACGCAAGCTTTGCCCAATTTCATTACGTAACATCCTTTGGTTATGGTCAAACTCACGGTCACCCGGAGTAGACCGACGGGCTTCAATGAGTTGCAAGGAACCTGCAGAAACCCAGTGCTTATAAGCGGGACGTTTCGCCAACCCACAAGTGACTTTACTCGCCATTTTCATGGCGTCTTGCAATCGCAACCAATGCTCATCTAAACTTTTCGGTGGAATGATAGCTAGCCTAGAAGCTAGCTCGGTTCGATACTTACTTGCAACAGGAGTTACAACCAACTTGCTGACATCAATCCTTTGGTGACGGTCACTTCGTTGTCCACTGAAAAGTAAGGTGAGATTGGCGCAGACCAAGACATGATCAGAGTCCAGATAGGTACTCCAAAAGGAGCGGTAGTCTCGTACACAACCACGCCAGCGGAAGCTGATCACGATGTGATCAATCTGAGTCCAGGCTTGAGATGCAGAGGGAGGACGCCAGGTGGCACATCGGCGATGACTGTGCCGAAAGTTAGTGCTAGCCAGAAACAGGTTGTGGTCTGTGCACAGTTGCAGTAGACAGTCCCTGTTATTTCACCTGCGACCAACAATTTCCCATCGACCACCCAAACGACTCTCTTCTGTGCCTAGACGCCCGACCTGAGCATTCAAGTCTCCGGCTAGTACTACAATATCTGTCGAACGCACTTTTTGGAGAAGAACAGATAATCACCTCATTAGACATCAACCATCTATCGAAGTTGAAGATATTTCCAAGATAATTGTATGCAGCAAACAGCAGTATATGGAGAAAATTCGCTTACATGGGTAAAACGATAGAATCAACTTTCGCGGAAGAACAGATTATATGATTAAATTTTAACTCACAAAGGCTAATAACGTGAATTTTGAGGGTTTGTAACTGTTTTCTTGTTAAGATTGCATTTTGAAGGGTTATGTTTAAAAAGTCACAAGGTACATGTAAACACTAATGTGAAACGTTGTTGGAAGGTCTAATTAGTTCTAATTGAAATTTTTAAGTCTTGGAAGTACAGTCAGTACTTATTATCATTTTAATGTGGGTCGACAGCATACATCGAGTTTAGATAGGCATGATTTTTAGTAGCAGTGACAAATAAAAACATTTCCAAACTAATCAGTTTTGTTATTAGAAACTCGCTAACTACTAAATTGTGAGATGAATCTGATGTGCCCAGTAGTATAATCATGATTCCAAAGATAGTTTGTTATATTCATACTATTAATGAAAGACTAGTTTGACCTATTTTGGTGAAGAGGGTGAACACTAAACATTAGATGGTGACTTCACTAAGAGTGAGTGCAGATCAAAAATGTCTCGATCACCATTAAATTGGAAGAAACAACTTTTGATGAAGATCTGATTGCTAATAAAAAAACAACTTCTATTCGTATCTAAACATTCAGCCGACGTTAAGATTTAAGCCAAGCGCATTTATATGAAACCATCCAGATGACTGGCGAACCTATTTGTCTGCATCCTACAAGAGATCTTATGGGATGTAACTCAAAATAATGAAAACAACTTCCCTATTAGTTATTTGACCAGAAATCAAATAAGTGACTACCAACCGCTACGTTAAAGGTCTTACTCATGACACACCCTACTGTGATTTGAATGGTTAAAGGGTTAGTTAAAAGCTGAGCAAATGAAATTGTACTGAGTACCATTAAGTGACTCAATTATGGAAAGATTTAACAGTGTACTTGTTAGCTAACCGACAATTTTTTGTTAAAAAACGATGTCAACATCATACAAACTAAGGAACTATATTTAAAATGGAAGATTAACTTACACAAAAGGTATGCATATATTTTCCCCCAGTGAGAGCGAGATAAATTAATTGCTTTTAATGCATCAGGTCGATTAGGGAATTCAACAACAGCGCAGATTTTGACGCCGAGTTGATTATGTAGTATTTGTGAACGTTTAAGATCAGATGGTATCTTGCGGTTTGGAAACAGAACGCGCACTAAAGATGGAGGATGGCCATTTATCTGAAGGGTAAAATGAAAACAAAAGTAGGATGTTTTATGATGTAATTTACACACTGAGCTATCTTTTTTATATTAGATGGACTATTGTGCAAGGATTAATGAGATCAAAAGCAAAAGACTTCGTATTAATCAAGACTTAGTTAAAACTTGCAAAGTCAAGAAAATTCAGTACACGTGTCCGAATAAGGGGCTCAACCACCGAATCATTGACCAACTCAATGAGCGAGTTTCATTTTGATCCTGATGCTGGTGTCACATTTGAATCATGGTTCAAGAGATACGAAGACATCTTCCAAGTTAAGTTTCCTCATCAAGATAGCTTTTTGAAGGTGAGAATTTTACTTCGTAAACATGGAGCAGCTGAACATGAAAAGCATTCGAATCTTATCTTGCCAAAAAACGTCGATTTTTCATTATATTGTTGAGACCTGAAGGTAATTTTGTTTCATGTACATCATTTGTTAATAAGCAAAAAGAGAGTTCCAAGTTGCGTCCACATTATGATGAACAATTCAAGTATCTTATCTTTGTATTAGGGTTGCAGTCATTGTCAGACTCAAGCATTCGTACTAGAATTTTAGGACGAATCTAGTCAAATCCCAATCTTACGTTGAAGGATATTACAAATGAATGTCGTCACATTGTTAATCTTAAAAATGATGCTAAAATGATCGAACGTCCATATCCCAATCCATTTGGTTAAATGAAAATTTCTCATTCAGACCGCATTATTAATGTCGCAAGGCATGATTCACGAGGATTTCCTAGCCCAAACCGAATTCATGATGTCCATGAATCTAGTTCACATCGTTCTACAAGGCCTCCTACTAGTTGTTGGAACTGTGAGGCATGGCATTTTTCGCGTTTCTGCCTATTCAATAAACATAATTGCGCAAATGTGGAGTAACTGACCATAATAAGGGATTTCGTAAACACAGAAAACCCTTTACTATTATCGAATACCAAAAAGGATCAATTGTGTACATGTATTGTCGAAATCTAACTCCCGCTAATTACGCAAGTATTTATTCTATTAATGTTAATGATCGCATTATCACTTTGCGGTTGGACACTGCATCCGATATTACTCTGATTTATCGTAAAACTTGGCACGAGCTCGGTTGGCCAAGAGTTTATCCTACTGACGATTGCGTAAAGAATGCATTGGGCATCCCAATCAAAATTTCTGGAATTATCAAATGTACAGTAAGATCTAATGATTTAATAATTAAACCCAAATTTTATGTTGCTGATGAATCCTTCAATCTGTTGGGTCTTGATTGGGTCACGAAGTTAAAAATGTCTGATTACCCATTTATTTTATTTTTATTTATTTGAACACATAGATATTGGTACAAGAGGGCACTAGATACATAGGCGCCACACAAATCTCACTTGATTTGTGTGAGGGCTGTGATACTGCCCGGGCGCCCAAACCGAAGCAGGTTACCCATTTAATCTAACTTGTAATCTAGATTCAAAAATGCTCGATCAGTTATCCAATTTGTTATCAAGTATGTTTATATCCTCATATGATGCACAAATGGAGGCAATTTTCCAGGGATTTTGAAAATAACCACGAGACCAGGGCAAGACCGAAAAAACCACTAGGAATAAACCCGAATTCAGCCTCATCTAAGGGGATCTCCCGTGCTGATTCAGTGTTCGGAAGGAAGACTCTGACTTCATTTAATAGCATATTTTCAAGAAGAAGACAAGATTATAAACCCAAGGCGAAGAGAATTGAACATTAGTTTTCTAATGGGCGACATGTAATTCACAGCTGCGATAGACGACTAAATTCAGATAAAGAACCTCCTAACTGAAACTTGCAACTAGATTATTTGATTGAGTTAGTTTGGAGCATCAGGATCAGTGCATAAGTAATGGTCAGACAGTAGGGAAACCATCAAAACATTTTCTTTAACGCTTTCAGTTAAATCCAAGGAGCAAGACTTATTTTTCAGGAGGAAAAGGTAATATGGAGAACCATTGATTGACCCTCTCACTAGGCTTCTTCTGACTGACCCTCTATATCACCATTTCTGTTGTTTGGTTGGGAATACATATTCTTAAACAATGGATGATTTTAAGACAAAGACATATGGATATAAATAATCATCAGCTTGAAAAGCAGTGAACTGTGTATGGACCGAAAACAGGTTAGTGGTGAGCTCAGATGCCCTAGAGAACTTTTGGAGGATAGGGAGACGGCATCAACATAGTCTGGTACAGACGTGTGTTGACCCACGTTTCCTATCCGATTAACACGATCAGATAAAAACAAAAGGGATCAAAATCATGTGATAGAAATGATAAAAATATAAAACACTGAGAACATAGTCTGGAAAAACATGTAAGAAGGGATAATAAAAGTTGAAATCAGACGCTGCACAGCGGATGCATTTGCGCCATTATGAGGGATTGAGCCATACTAACTAGTCTCCAACCACTGATCAATTACCTGGTCAACCCCAACCAGGCAGTCTGAATCTACTAGCATAGCTCAGACTATAGGGTAGCTAGAAAATTGTTGGTAACCATAAGGAGAACGCCTTTCTTACTGGATACGAATTACCACTGGCTAAAGTGTTTTTTTTTTCATATGAATTATGATGCTTAAAAGTGACTTTACACATGACACATTTGACCAGGTTAGAACATCTTAGAGGACACAGCAAGGATGTTTAAAAGCCAAGAGTGAACTATCTCTGGTTACCGATAGTTTGACCAACTTTTAGCCAATGTACTATACTTCTACATGAACATGGGCTTTACAGAGTATATAGGTGTCTGCGAGTCAAAAGTGATCAACGTCGATATCAGCAAAGCTCTCCTTAATGTTTTACGCACTAAGCTTTACCGAAGCTGGAAAACTCAGAAATCTTTCCGAGCCTGGTTAGTTAGGTTGAAGACAGTTTTGTTAGTTGCTGAGAGTACGAATCAATCAGTTGGTTTACACAGGCCCACTGGAGTCTAAATTGATATATTGTGTACAGGTACAGGTCCCTGTTTACGTGGCAAGTTAAGCATCCTGAAAAGTACAGAGGACCGCTAGACGCGCTGATCGAACGCTTGAGAAGTCATGTCTTTTGGACTGAATCTTCATGATAGGATTTAACAAGCACAAAACCATGCCAAAAAGGCAATAAAAGATTCTTAGTCTGCTTTCAAAACACCTAATTAGATTCGCGTTAAACGCGAGCCTAAAAGAAATACCCGGAAACTAGAGGTACAACTGCAGTCTGATCTGTTCTGAACATCTTGGCGCCTACCTAAAAGCATTGGTGATCCACTGTTACTAAGTAAACAATCTCGTTGAGCGAAAGCTTCTGCGCCATTCCCAACCATTCTAATGAGCCTAAATTTGCCGATGATAACGACTGAATTTTATCGATACAATCACTGTTAAAATTCAAAGAAACAAAAGGGGTTGGTTTACCGTGAAGAACTCCTGAATACTTTCCACTGTGACGTTCGAATTTTCTGGGAATTCCGACAATATGATGGTACGGTAGTAAACGGATTTATCCCATACGGGCAAAGGATCAATGCGTCGAATTGTGTTCCCATCTTCTGACACCTGAATTTTGGTTGAAGCTGCCAGTGACTGACGAATAACGCTAAGGTCCGTCGTCAAAGACTGGAGTTTTTTAAAACCTGCAATTACAGAGAGATCCACCCATCCCTCCTTTGATGACTTGACTAAGTTTAGAAGGAATTGGTCTTTTAGAATATTTGCATCCGAGAAATAGAATTCACATTGTTTGACAATCTTTTCATTCATGAGCTCTGATTCGGGCTTATTGCATACAGCAATATTTTCTTTGTCCTGCAGTACCGAATAATCTGAAAACTCACTGGGACTCAACTCCATCAGGTGGCGTCCGGCACGGTAAATGGCAACACTTCAGGGGTGTCGTCCACTGAAGGAGGTTGCGAGCACTTGAAGGTCAAACTGTCGCAAGATGATTGGTGCGTCACATCGACAATTCGTGAAGTTTTTTAGAAGGGGTCAGATCAATACATTTTCAGATTTTGATTGAGGTCAGCCACACCATATCTGATAACGTCCATTCTTCAAGTAACGAGAACGATGCCATCGTGATGATATAGGACGAATCTTCAATGATATTACGTTATCTCGAAGATTTACAAGTTGGGACAATTTTGAGACCTGTTTGAAAGAAGTACATAAAGTAATATGACTTCTGTGGTTAATAATTGCTTTTTTAGTATACGCATACTAAGTACGTTATGTCCGTATGTAAAAAGAACAGTGATGTCCCAACTCTAAAGTATTTTTTCGTGAGATATGTCTGTACATATGGACGTAAACGCAGTTCGTCAGAGTCAGATGCTTGTGTTCAGGGTGTAGATGATGATAATGATCATCATTCTTCCGAACAGCATACAACTTATAACTTGCCACCACAACCTAGACAAATTTGTCTTTTTCAGAAGATGACGTCGGTCATCTATGTATGCTTTACTTCAAATGAATTTATTCTTCAGGTCGAAATATTGCCATTGTCAGTCTAGATTCTGGGTCCGTGCAGTAAATGGTGAGCTGAAAGTCATCTCTATTAAGACCGTGCACAACCATCCTTGCACAAAAGGATATATTTCTGTCGATGCATTTGACGTCATGTGAACGCTTATATTTAAGAACGTTTCTATTGAGTAATACGCCAACTCGTAGCTTACGGAATCTGGTTTCTTGGAAGTTGCATAAACAACTTACCAAGGGCGATACCGCCAAAATGCGTTGACAGTTGTACCCAGGTTGTTGAATTCACATTGTAATTAATTAAGTTTAGACACTGAAAATATCAATGACATTTTACAGCTCGTTTAAGCAAACACTGGAGTTAAAGTACTCGATGAACATGAGAACACATTGTAGCGGTAAATAAATCCCCAAAATAAATAGCTCTGTAAGTTTTCGACATTGGATGCTGACCATATGTTTTAGTGGACTCATCTAGCTGAAGGCGCTCGGTCAGGCATCCGCACCAGATCACGTGTGGTAACGCCGTGCTCAACATCAACCGCAATCGATAGCCAGAATAGATCAGAGAATTCCGATATATTGATCATCGCCAAATATACTCTTCCGATCTCCTCAACTCTGTCTTTTGATTTCTCTGGGCGGGAACGAAATACATTAGAAGGTGTTACTGGTAGAAGCGTTTTCAAACACTGAATACCTGTGACATCATCATTGGTGAAACCGACGTGATCTGGTACACCTAATTGCAACTGTGAGTCTGTTCCTTTTTGGGATTTTTGTATATCATTGCCTTCTCTTTTTATTTTTTTTAAACATTGTGATTTTTTCGTGTTTCTTCTTGGATATATATATTTTCCCCTCGTTCATTATCATACTTCATCATGACTGAACAGACACCTAAAGTACTCAAGCTTAAGACTTTGTCCCCGCCTTCGTTTCAACTGATGCCTTTCTGGCCTGATAACATCGAAGCCTGGTTCTGCTACGCAGAAGCCGACTTCCACGAGCACGGCGTGATCGACACACGTGCACAATTCTTCGCAGTAGACAAGGCATTACCGCGCGAATTCAACAGGTACGTAACACCTAGTATGTTTACCAGTGATGTTTCCGATCCTTACGAAATCTTAAAACGCTCGATTCTTAAACGAGGGGACCTAACCGATCGACAAAGGTTAGATCAACTCTTCAATAACATCGACCTGCAACACGGTTCTGCGACAGACATGTTGCAACGGATGAGAGAGTTAATAGGCCCAAGAACTTTCGACGAAGGTCTATTCAAAAAACTCTTCTTGTCAAAACTCCCCCAACAGGTGCAAGCAGTTCTGGTCTCGTTCCAGAACAACGTCTTAGACGAGCTAGCTGCATCTGCCCACCGCATTTTAGAAATTACGAAACCTTCTACTACCGAGGTATTTTCAGTCAAAGAAAAACATCAAACGACTCAGAATGATATAAACGACTTATGTCACACACTCACGCGTTATCTTAGTCTTCGTACCGACCGTAAGAGATCGCGCACACGCATTTCTCGTAAGCGATCTGTCTCTAGACCACGAGAGACAGATAACCCCGACTGGCGCTGGTATCATAACCAGTATGGAAAGTTTTCCAGAAATGGCAGAAAACCCTGCAATTTTCCCAACACGAAACCGAGTGACTCGAAAAACAACTCGGGAAACTTCCAAGCCGGCACGCGTTAACGGCAACCGTAGCCGGCGAACATAGCCGTCTGTTATTCGTCACAGATGTGACAACGAGAGTTCGCTACCTCGTCGACACTGGCGCAGAAGTTAGCGTTCTCCCAGCAAATCCTAACGACCGGCTTCACGAATCGACCCTAAACCTACAGGCGGCTAACGGAAAACCGATCGCTACGTATGGCAAAAGGTACGTTTACCTTAACGTGGGTTTACGCAAACCCATTCACTGGATTTTCGTTGTTGCAGATGTTTCTATGCCAATCATTGGTATGGATCTTCTACAACACCACAATCTGATCATCGACACGCGCAAACGGAGGCTAGTAGACGGAAACACTAATTTATCCGTTTGCGTAACGTTTTTTACTGGTTGTAGAGTATCCCCAGTCACAGTTAAACATATGATAGACCCACTCTATCAACCACTGCTCGATAAGTACCCTGGGATACAACAAACTCGACCGAAACTACCGTGTGTAACCAGCAACGTTACACATCACATCACGACTACAGGACCACCTGTATTCTCTAAAGCACGACGACTAGCTCCTGAAAAGCTAAGGTTAACGAAAAACGAATTCGATCACTTGATGGACTTAGGAATCATACGACCGTCAAGTAGCCCATATGCATCTCCGTTGCACATGGTCCCTAAAAAGGACAGCAACGATTGGCGTCCAACTGGTGACTATCGGCGATTGAATGCGAAAACCATTCCCGATCGTTACCCGTTGCCTCACATTCACGATTTGACAGCTACCTTGAAAGGTACAACTGTCTTTTCGAAAATCGACTTGGTTAAAGCGTATAACCGAATCCCTATGGCTACTGACGACATACCGAAAACAGCTATCATAACTCCCTTCGGACTCTATGAATTTTTGCGAATGCCTTTCGGTCTAAGGAACGCTGCTCAAACATTCCAAAGATTCATAGACGACGTTTTTCGAGGTCTCAACTTCGTAAACGCGTATGTTGACGACTGCCTAATCGCAAGTCCGGATAGAGAAACACATCTCAAGCTTCTGGATCTTGTTTTCGAAGACTACAAAAACATGGCATTACTGTAAACGTTCAGGAGTGCCAATTCGGAACCGACTAATTAGACTTTCTGGGACACACTATCGATGCTCAAGGTATCCGACCCCCTAGAACCAAAGTGGCGGCCATTCTGGATTACCCAGAACCGACCACCGTCAAGCAATTACGCACGTTTAACGGCCTGGTAAGTTTCTATAGACGTTTCATACAGAAATGCGCATTACTTATGAAACCGCTAACCGACCAACTTCGTGGAAATGCGAAATCCATTAATTTGGACGACACCGCACGAAAAGCATTCTCCACAGTTAAGGAACTGATCGCTAAAGCAACAATGCTCGCACATCAGGACACCGAAGCACCCATTAGTATCGCAGTAGACGCATCGGACTCGGCAATCGGTGGCGTCTTACAACAATGGGTTAACAACTCCTGGCAACCATTAGCATTTTTTCTCCAGACGGTTGCTAGACACCGAATCAAGGTACAGCACATTCGGTAGGGAACTCCTAGCTATGTATTATGCTGTACGACATTTTCAACACTACATCGAAGGTCGTGAATTCACTCTTTTCACGGACCATAAACCGCTCACTTTCTCGTTAAGCTCTCCGTCTGACAAGTACTCTCCCCGTGAGTCTCGACAACTGGACTACATTTCGCAGTTTACTTCAGATATTCAACACATCTCTGGAGCAAACAATGTAGTTGCGGACGCTTTATCTCGCATAACTTCCTTGAACAGTTTCCAAGGAATCGACCTTCTTAAAATCGCCGAGCTTCAAAAAGAAGACAGTGATCTTCAGCACGAGTTATCGTCTACAACCCTTAAACTACGCGTCAAACAGATGGGAACAGGTAACGAAACCTTACTTTGTGACACATCTACAGGCAGGGATCGCCCAATCGTGCCGAAACATTATCGACGCAATGTCTTCAACACATTTCACAAACTTTCGCATCCAGATGTTCGTGCAACCATCAAGCTTATAGCAGAACGGTTTTGCTGGCCTGGCATGAATAAAGACGTGAGGGAGTGGGCACGCTCCTGTGTAAGCTGCCAAAAATCTAAGGTTATCAGACACAATAAATGTCCCTTAGGCTCATTTAAAACTCCCGATGCTCGTTTCGACCATGTTCATCTGGATTTGGTGGGATCTTTACCAGATTCAAATGGATACTCTTATCTCTTAACCTGCGTAGACCGTTTCACTCGATGGCCAGAAGCAGTACCTATCAAGGACATCACTGCTGAAACAGTGGCCCGCACATTCGTTGAACGATGGGTAGCAAACTTTGACTGCCCTTCAACCATCACTACAGACCGCGGACGTCAGTTTGAATCTGAACTTTTCCGTCGTCTGACCACACTTTTAGGAATCACTCGCTTCCGAACGACTGCCTACCACTCACAAGCAAACGGGTTGGTAGAACGTTTTCACCGACAACTAAAAGCTTCGCTATCAGCTAAAAACGTTACACAATGGACCGACGCTTCCACTCGTCTTACTAGGTATCCGCAATGCAGTCAGAGCTGACATTGGATACACTGCGGCTCAACTCGTTTATGGAACGACACTTCGACTTCCAGGAGAATTCGTGGATCCTTCGTCCTGT